CAGGCATTTGCTCATAAAACAAAGTGTTGGACAAAGATATTTTAAACCTTGTGGTGGCAGTAGGGGTAAAATCATAGGACCACCACAGTTGTCAAGTCATCCTGTGAAATCCATCTAATAGTTATCGGGACATTTCACTCGAAACCACAAATGTCACCCTCAGGGTGGTGCTGCAGAGAACATGAGGGGATCACCAAAGTCAGGCCCGTCAAAAAAAAACAACCAATTCAGTATTTTAATTAAAACAAATTCATTAGCATTGACTTTATCTACTGTATATATTCATTACTGTTAAAGAGAGTGATACTCCCATGTCATGTGTTTGTATTACCTTATTTTCCTGTAAATAAATCTATATCCTTTTTTTTTTAAAGTGTAAAGTGCAACATATTTTTTTCTTTACCAGAGCTGTGTTTATAGCAAATCTCGGAGGCCCCTTTGCAGAACAAGTAGTAGCTGCTTTCAGTGCCCTTCAGCTCAATGCTCACACAGTTGAACACAGAGTTGAAGACAGAGCTCCTCCTCAGGGACTTCTTCAAGAAACAGCCATAGGTCTTGTCCTCCAGTTGCCATGGCAGGCTGCCTCCTTTCTCTGGAGACACAATGTCAATGATGTTAGTTCCTCCGCCCAGGACTAGCATGTCTCAAGATTTTGATATTATTGAGCATTTAGGATTCAGGCCTGCAGTGTGGTGGTTTGTTCTTTTATGTCTCCCCATTCGTACTTCTACTAAACACAGGGACGGGCTTGAAACCTTTCCCAGCACAACAAGCAGAGAGGAGGGATACACCCCGGACAGGTCAGCAGTCCACCACACAGTTACACAACAGGCATAGCTAACATCCATGCCCAGATGGAAAGCATGTTTCTGGAATGTGGAGGAAACGCATATGAACATGGGGAAAACTCAGCAGGACGTCCATGACGTGAGGCAGGAGTGTCGACTTCCCATCATGATTTGTGTAGTTTCAGTGTGGCTCTGTGGATATAAAACATGTAATAACTGACGATAAAATTACTGACAAAAAAAACTAATGCTGGTGGAATACCATACCCAGCTATATGTGAGCATGTAAAATGGTTTTTAAGAGAAAAGAAGGAATGAACTACAAACATGAGGCATTAAAGGACACATAAAGTGTGTAGGATTTAGTGGCATCTAGCGTAGTGAAGGAGAACTATGGTGGCAGCAGAACACTCCTATCTAGAGCCAGTGTTTGGTTTGCCCCTTATGGGCCACTGTAGAAACATGGCAGTTCAACATGGTGGATTCCATGGAAGGCGACCTGCAGCGTCTGTAGACATAAAAGACTCATTATAATGTAGCAAGGGTTAGGGTTAGCATCTTCAGGTGATTATACACTAATTAAAACACATATAAATATTATATTCCATTTCTTCTAAGAGATCCTCCTGAATGTTACACACTGGACCTTTAAATCATAGATGTCCTCTTCATTATAGAGTTAAGGTGTTGAATGGCTCAAAGGCATGTCTTTCTTGATATTTTAGGTACTTTGGTTCATGAAATAGAGAGATATTAGATAATTCTTATTATGCACTCTTGCTTTTATCTAAAGTTGATTTCTTGAGTGAAACATCTGCTGTCCTGCTTCCACTGAAGAATAAAATCATCTTCTTTAGGTCACCATCAAACCTTTTGGATAAAGTTCCCTACAACAGAGAGATTGGACATGTGTGTATGAGTACATATGTGGGAACAGTTGAGGCAGACTACTTTTCCTCATCTTAAGACACACTTTCCCACGTTATATCAGTCGAGAGCAGATCGAGTTCGGACAGGCCCAGACACTTTGGAGATTTGCACAGGTATGTTAGTGGGCAGCTTTCTGTGTGTCCTGTGGAACACACCATACTTAATACTGACAGTCCTGTTGTCATCAGTCCTTCAGATGTTTTTCTTTAAGTACACTGTGTGATTGCGCCTACATTCTTCTGTGTTCTTGTTTTCTATAATGCACCTGCTGATGAATGTGTCTGCTAGAAGTGCTCCTTTCAAACTGTTCCATGTACCCATTTTACATTTATACCATTGTCCAATTAATCATGTTGCAATGATTTGCATAGTTTTTATGAACAATAGACGGTGGTGACGATAATTGGTGGCCTCTTTCATCTGCAATGCTGTTAGCCAGAATACAAACAGTGTTGTTAGCGCCTGTGCCAAAAATAAGTACTATTTACCATAAATCCTGTTGCTTCTTGACACAAACAGGATGTTAGTAGCTGTCTCATTTTCCACCTCTGGCCTCACTCTGCATGTGCTCATAGATAATGCAGAAACCTGAAGACAATGACAGCACTTTATAAAACCTGCTCCAAACATGGTAGCTAAACATAAAGCTGCTTACACATCAAGAGCAATCTCCAATCTCCCAAATAAAGGAATATCTTCTGGAAGATGGCGTTCATCCCCGCAGTAGAGTTCCAGAGATTTGGAGAATCTTCAGTGTAACGAGGTGAAGCACTGCTTACCCTTGTTGGTTTTCCCTTTAATCTGAGCAGTTTGCTTTTATTAGCCCTAATTCATTCACCTATATGACTGATTTAAAGGTCCAGTGTGTAGGGTTCAGTGGCATTTAGCAAGGTAGTTGCAGATCGCAACTCTGTCGCTTCACCCTCCTTTCCAAGAACGAAAGAGAAACTACGGTGGCTGTGAAACACCCCTATCTAGAGCCAGTGTTGAAACATGGTGGTTCAACATGGTGGTTCAACATGGTGGACTGGCAACCAGCAGTGTCTGTAGATATAAACAGCTCATTCTCAGGTTACAAAAACATAATGCATATTCAGGGGGATTATACACAGCCGTCAGCCTTAGACATGAAAGTGCCCACGAAGCCAACTTCTAAACTCTCTGTTTACTGTGATGGATCCTATTCCCAAACTAAAAATTACTTATATTTTGGGAAATATAATATATTATTATTATATTATTATTATAATATTGAAATATTGTAAATTTCTTCATGCTGCTGCTAGGTTGAACCCTTCTCTATGAAAACTCACCTATACCGGCAATCTGTATCACTTCATTAGTTGAAAAACTAAAATATGGAGTTTAGATATGTGCTTTATTATGCTAGGAAACTAATCAGTCACATGGCGGCCAGTCATGAGAAACTTAGAGTTTCAAAAAAACAAAAGCTGCTATGTAGCATTTCAAAATTAAACACTAAAAATCTTTTGAACACCTTGTCTGGAGGTGTGTGTGCTGCATGCAGAGCCAGACGCAGCTGTAGCATGCAGACACACTGGGACAGAGAAACAAAGTGAGAGTAGCTAGAGGGTCTTGTTGTTGTCCTGCCTTTGGTTGTTGCCCTCCTCCTGCTGTCTTTAGCTCCACAGGAGAGCTGTGCAGGGCTTAGAGTGCGCCTCTGAGCATCAATAATAGAGGACTCACAGCACCCATCACATAAAGGACTGAGGCAGCGGGACAACTTAATACCATTCAGCTACTAATTAACTAATTGAAAGACGAAAGTCTCTAAATCTGGTAGTACAAATAACTGATTATTCCTCTTTGTGCCTGTACATAAAATGCTCATCCGTTTTAAAATGAGCCGTAAAATCAAGTGCACAGTGAGTGTGAAATCTTGTGGCTCAGTCCCATATTTGCCAATGAGATCAATGTTCTCTTATTACTGACAGCAACAAGAGCCCATAAAGACCTGATTTATTGTTAACTCTTTATTTGGTCTGGAGGAGTTAGACGGGCTGTAGGTGGAGACTTAAACCCGTAAGGTCAATCACATGAAGCGGTAAAATGAGATGTAACCACATTCATAAGGGCCTTGAGCAGAAGAAGAGGGGAAGTATATAGAGCAGGGGAGCTTCAGTGGAAAGAAATGGACTCCATTTTTGTAAGTCCTCCTCTCCAGCTGTCAGCCCGCTCCCTGTCCCATGGGGGGTTGCCACGGTGACAGGAGGCCACATGTCTTGGGGGCGTCGTTTTGGTCAAAGGACCCCATTGTTCTTGTGTTAAGCCGTCTTCACTATGCCCGTCTGCCAGGGACAGGGGCTTCAGCTTCACACCCCTCTCACACACACACACACAAACACTCTCTCTCTCTCCCGCTCACTCTCAGACACAGTGAACACACCCCACACCCACTTGTAAAGAGGTGCAGCAGTTTGGCTGTACACTCACACAATCAAACAGCCTATTCACCAAGATGCCCGCAGTTACAAGTTTTAAAATCAGACAAGAGATGAGTCATAACACGGGCACATGATACTATGAAAGAAAGCAAACACACACACACACACACACACTCCAAAAGTAATTTTTGTTCTGCAGTAGCACCTAACATTTCACACTCATGAATGTGCATCTACTAAATGATTTCCTCCCCTGAAGATAATATCAGTTCCCTTGACTTCTTTCATCTCCTCATACTTGATCAACTTGACAGATTAATAACTGGCCACTGCAGCTCCTCAGGTCCACCACCAGATGGCAGAGTAGCCCCACTGCATGGACCCAGAACCATATTAGTGGCTATATGATTCTGTCCATTTGTCTTCCAGTGGGAATACAGAAGAGACCTTGGCACACACTCGGAGTCAGAAACCTCTGGTGTCCTTCAGCCAAGTGACTCTGACTTGATGTAAAAGGAGCGAGTCAATTACCCAGTGATGGATAGATTACAGTCATGCATCATTCTGGGAGCCAATTTTCCTATGCGAACTGAATTTGAAACTCAATTTGTTACTGCTCTCTCCATTCCTCTCCGACAGATGGATGGAGCCAGTAGAGGGGAGCCGATCTGAATCTGTGACTGGTGGAATCTGAGGTTAGAGGTCAATTTACTTGCAGTAATTTGGCTGTGTCCAAAATGTAGATCAGAATGGTAATTTCTGAAGCGATGCAGTCAGTTATGGCATAAAGGTCGTGGTGCATGCAAAAGGAAAGCTGCTGTACGTGAACTGAACTGACCACACAGCTGGAACATCACATTTGAGAGAGAGTGGCTGCTTTATTATCTGGATGAATTCCTTTCAAATGAGTCTGAATCATCTGGTTAAATGAACACAGTTTGATCTAATGAGGTGTCTTTACATGCAACCAAAGCATTTAATCAGAAACGGAGTCAAGCAAGGTACATTTTGACATTTCAGGAAATGCACAGAGAACACTCTGGCTTCTTTTTAATTTGATGCAACGTATAAGGCAATTTCTACTTGACTTGCCATTGCTAGAATTACTGACAGTGTATTAAACCAGATCAGATAATGCAACGAGACAGGGACGTCTTCAGGACATTGACCTGTCAACAGCTTGGATCACAAAAAAGGAAAAACCTACAAAACAAAACCATTCCAGCAACCACAAATAAACTGAATTGTTGGAGCCTATTAATTAGATTCTGGTGTGTAAGTCACATTTTCTCCCTCCATTACTATTCCATTATTCCAGCCCCTTCCCAGGCTTGCCTGACAGATGGTGAATGCAGTACAGCCGTCCTCATCTATCCACAAAGAGTGGATATTGACTTGGGGATCTCGATCCAGTGACTTTGGAGAGTGAGACTGAAGATGCACTGTGATTACCAGCTGAGTGGTTGGATATTGATTAGGAGGTGGTCAGCAGAGATGATTGGGCTCTCAGTGTATTGACCGGCTTGGTTAGTGGAGGGGAGAAAAAAAGAAAAAATAAAACAGAAAAAATAAAATTACCGCTCAGCTCTAATAATTCATGGGGAACACAAGCATCAATGTTAATGCCAATATAAAACAATCAGCCTGTTCTTGGAAAATCATTCCATTTAATTTGAAGAACATTGATGGTATGTATGAAGGTGTAATGGATGGATCAGTTATCCCCTGGTAATCTCAGTTCATTCAGATGAGCAGTCTCCCATGTATTCACTTAAAGTCTCATGAAGCATTGTCTTGTGTCTCCTCAAGGAGCAGAGGTGTGACGGGTGGAGCTGCGCTGAGCCGTCGGCCCCTGGTCCTCCTGCGGGCCTCTTTACTGGTGTCAGGGGAGGTCCGAGGCAGCCAGGCGAGACCTGCACTGTTGCTGCTGCTGTGCTCTGTGTTGCTCCGGTTCCTCAGGCTGCGCCGTACTGAGCGCTGCCCTCTAGTGGCAACTGGTTTGAATACATCCTCAAAATTAAAGTCAGCCTGCCAGGGGGCAAGGTCCAAACCGGCTACTGCCCCCTCTTCCTGGCTATCAGAGCTTGACCTGATGCCATTTTCCTGCTGAATAGCTGCTTGGTCTCCCTGTCTCTTCTCCTCTGCTCCATGGCTGGCTTGGTGCTCCTCTACCTGGTTCCCCTGCTCCTCTAGGACTGAGCTGCTTACAGAGCTCCTCCTGCCCCGCTTGGCTTTTCTCTGAGCTGGCTCTGATGGCAGACTCAAAGTGTTGTTGGATTCCTCAACTGGAGGTGAGCAGTCTGAGAGGGGTGCATCCAGACTACCATTACATTCTAATTTTCCATTGAAGTCTGTGCAGTGTGTATCTGCAGAAGTCTCTGCATTACGTTCAGGGTCAACTCCTCCCTGTTCAGGTACAGTGTGGGTCAGTGGGGTTTCCCTTGATGCTTCAACGTTTTCAGTGGTTTGGTCTTCATGCTGATCCTCTGTTGTTCCTCCAGTCTGGTCCAGAGTCTCCTCACCAAGCAGAACACCATCAGCAACACTGACTTTCCTTTTCTTATGTCCTTTCCCTCTGACCCTCGGCCCAGACAGCCTCCTGCCCTTCCTTGTGGAGTTTTCTTTACTGGAGTTTGGAGAAGTGATGGAATTTTCAGAAGGATTTTCCAAGCCATTTGTCACAGTCAGGTCACCAGGCACTTGATTGTCGTTAGTCATCTCAGGGTTCAATTGGGTCTCATGATTTGGGGCTGTTGGGAGAAATGAGGACAAAACAATTTCAAGGAAATTAATTTCCACCGACCGCTGCTGCCCTCCAAAAGTTCTAACTTATCAGGAAATGAAAAATAAATTGAGTGACTTTGGTCATAGATTTGGAAGGGTTGCATGTTATGGAAAAAGGCATACAGAACCAAAAAACTACTACTATAAGATTAAGTTAGTTATCGTCTGCATGATTTACCTGTGCAGCTCACAGAGGGAGCCTGGCTAATGAAGGACAGCCTCTCTGTGATGGGACTCAGGGCGGGGTTCTTGGAGGCGTATGCCCGAGAGCCGTAAAGAGAGCGGTCCACGTCCCTGTTCCACCGACGTGTTGCTGTGGAGGTCATCTGTGGAAAGACAATCAGCGTCGTTGGAAAGATTTGTACAGACGTGTCAGTGTCAGCTGAAAAGTAGCTGGTCACTTGGGATATGATGCAGAGTGATTATCTCTTGTACATCTACATCAATACTACACTGCTAATCTAGGAAAGTCATTATGCTAATTGATTCTTACACACTATTTTCTTATCAACCTCAGCAAGCAGCATAAAAATATTTATAGTGGCGACTTCTGATGGCTCATTATGCAGGCGCCATGTCCAAGTCTGGGGGTTACTGAATGAATTAATAATAATTTAAAAAAAGAAACAAGGTGTTAAAACACACAAAAAAGTATTTACTTCTCTACAGGAAGTAGGGAGAATTTACATTGTACATGCTATAAGGAAATGTGTGTAATTCCCCATCCCTAATACAGTACTATGTATCAAGATAAACCTTTTGTTTGATCATTATGGTGGATCTTGGAGAATTTACACACTGCTTTAATTAAATTTCATCAACTCTGCCACATTCTGCAGAGTGAAACGGTTATTTGGCAAAAAAACCCAAACAAAACTACTAGAAAACTGTTGTAAGAGTCAGATACTACAAGCTCAGTAAATGGCCTGTTAGTGTTTGTTACAGATTGCTTTCAAACTACTTTTTCACTGTTACCTACAAACTACCTGCCGTACTGTGCAATGGATAAACTTCTATCCAGAACGTCGCGTGCAGTTGGCAAGAAGCAGAGTTCTCGTGACTATACTAGTGTGGATTATCCCATTTATTCATTCATCTTGTCCAAATGGGTTTAAAAGGACAAGTCTGGTCATGTTCCATATTTTCTTATTGTCAACAAATACCATGACAACATTAAAAGCAAAAATAAATGCATTCTACTAACACGTATTGTGTGTGTATCCACAGCCTGATAAACGTTATTCATCTGTGCCACAGAGCTCCACTGTTGTCTTAAAACTGTTCAAATACATCAATGAGCCACACTATTGTTGACATATTCCATCATTCTGATGAATATGGGCACTGTAGTTTGAGGTAGTCCTTGACACACCGTCTGATGTGTCCATTTTATTCATATATATCACACATTCACACCAAGGGGTTTAAATACTCACCAGCAAACCAAATAACAAAATGGTCCCCAACAAATTCAACATTTACATCTTAGTGTTTTTTTTAAAAATAGTTTATATTTGTGACTTTAAATATTTAAATCTTAAGTAGATATGAATGCCTTGGGGCTGAGAGCCAGAAACTGACAAGTGAGGTTGGAAAGGATTCAGACTAACACATTGTTGGTTTTGGTCTTTCCATGTGATTTGGTGACAATAACAAAAACAAAGATATGTAAATGGCATATTGCTAGCCTTATCCTTTAAAATAACTTGATTTAATTCAAGATTTCATAATGGAATTCTCATTCTTTACAATTATCTGTTGAGAATGATCAGTGGTGGTATATCTGGGGCGTATAAACATATATACACACAGCTCTTTTCCACCAACTCAGCCAAAGTAAGTTGTAGTTAGATTGTACAGCTATCAGCTCCATGACTGCTTCCCAGAAAGACATGTCTGCAGATCCCTCAGTTAAGTGCTGTAAAGCGATCAGACTCCGCCAACTCACCTTCATCTTCCCAGAGGCCGACTTGGCAGCAGAGCGTGTCGACCTCTTCACAGGTTCGCTCTGCTCTGGCTGCTGGGGGAACACAGAGTTGGCATGAGGATATATTATATAGACCGTCTCTCTGCCACACACACACACACACACACATAAAGTGGATATCCTCAAATGTGATTAAGTTCAGATCCAGTGGAATTAAACAGTAGATTAGATGGGAGCATGTTATGACCCCTAAATTATTAGAAAGACAATCTTGTCTGGCAAATGGAGATTTGTGGAAGTGAGATCAAGCTGAAAGCAGTTTGTGGTGATAGCAGACCTTTCTCTTTCGACTGCTGGAGCGAGCTGGAACCTCACTGTTAGATTCAAGCTCCGGTCCTGGCTGCTGGAAGAGATTTACAAGTTTTATGTGTATGAAATGGAAATTTGACAGTACGGGAATCTACAGAGCATAGTAATAAGTTACAAATAGCTAAAAGCTAAAATATATATATCATATTTTTTAATGTAATTGTGCACCTAGAATGATTGATTAAATGATTAAATAAATAAATAATGATAATGAAACCTTTTTCCTTCTGTTTCTACATTGGGCTGCAGCTTCAACAGTTGCTTCAGATTGCTTTTCCTGCTCTAGGAAGGACATCACCTCATTCATGGCATCCATCTTGGAGGTTGAGCTGGGTTTAGTCCCAGACTCTAAAAAGGGGAGGGGAGGAAACAACAGTATTACAGCTGAAATCACAGCTGTAGGTAATGTTAAGACTGATTCTGTAGGTTAGCATGGTAAATGGTAACCAACTAAGGTTCTGTACTTTCTGATACTGGCAAACAGTGGTGACATTTAAAAGGTCCAGTGTGTAACATTTAGGAGGATCTATTGGCAGAAATGAAACAAAATATTAATAGGTTTGTTGTCATTTGTGTATAATCACCTGAAAATAAGAATCATTGTGTTTTGTTACCTGGAGTGAAACGTTTTTATCTACAGAAGAATCAGGTCTTTGTCTACAAACGCTGGCTCTAGATAGGGCCGTTTTTATAATAATTTATGTTTAGTCTTACAGCTTGACACACTGGAATGTATCAGGAGAGAGGAGAAGGCATAAAGTTAATTGACAATGAAAAGAAAAAATGGAGACGTATGATGGCAGTTCACCTGTCAGAATCTGAGAAAGAGACTCCTCATGGAAAGCAGTGTTTAAATTCAACGGCTGGGTGTCCCACGTACATACTGAAAAAGCAACAAATGGGAACAGCTGTCATCATGTGAAAACATTTTGACTGCATTCTACTAGAGACAATAAGCTTTAACTCTGGTTATTACAGTTTTTTTACCCTACCTGTATCATTCGTCACTGGAGAGTCACTCTCCTCCACTGAAGGGAAGAAAAACTAGGACCAGAAAACAAAAAAGACCAGATAGTGGGTCATATCCTGATTCTTATAAATAATATTCAATTATTAAACAGCATCACTCATACATCTCTTCAGAATTTTAGCCAGTTATAATTTACAAGTAAACTAAGAGAAAGAAATGAAGTAGACAGTGTAACGCGTTTTATGACATGTACAGTCCAGTATAAACACCACGCTACCATCACAGAAACATTACCAATGTTAAAACAATGCAGGCATCTCGTCTACCTTTCCATCCTTCTCTCCACTGTCCTCTCCCACAGACCGCATTCTGCGATTGCGAGGCATTGCAAGTGTAGGTGAGGCACCAAACACAGTGGGGCTGCTGAGGTCTGGCTGAGCTTGTGGTGTTTGGGATTCACTCCTTTGTGGCGTCTTCAGCACTGAGCGCAGCTGTAAGCGCCCACCTGGTGTGGGTGCTCGGGCTGGTGTGCCCCCCTTCTGCAGCGGGGTGCTGGGGGGAAGGTTCTTATCAAAGAACTCAGGAGAGAGCGGACCTCCAAAGCGCACGCTCTTTTTCTTGTTCTTAACCGTGGACTTCCCAGTGGAGTCATCGTCTTCTGCAAAGACAGTAAAACCTTGAATGCACAAATAAGCCTTTAACCTTTTCTTGCCCTTACTATACAACGTGGAGGCAGAACAAGGCAGAAAGTAAGGCTACTCTCTATAATATTAGATTGTTTACATGACTGTTGGTTTCATTAATATTTGGCAAAAATCTCAGACAAACAAATATCAAAACAAACAGGCTGATTACTAATGTATTTATATTTGAGTTGCCTTCAGATATTTTCATCACAACAAAATATTGAAAGAAACAGAAAACATGAATTAATCTATTAAAAGATATTTTGTATGAATTGTATAACTCAATTTAACGTTATAATACACTGCGTGTATAATTAACTGTATTTAAGCACTGCCTACTAATATCATGAAGTATGTTCCCATAAATTTGACAAGCTGTACCCTTTTAACACAACTAAAAAACAAAATCATGGTCTGTCATGGGCGCTGATCCCTATTTCGCACAACTGTTGCACATTCATCCCACATCGGTCTGTTATTTGATAAACACTGGCATTTAATGAGAACCATTAACATTCCCCTTGTAGCTAAAACACTCAAAAACCCTAAACTCAAATGCTGTTAATTAACATGAATTTCCTCTGTCAAAATACAACTTTGACACTGTCCTGGTATGCAGCCTGGATACACTGCATCAAGCTAAGCTCTCTATCCCAAGCCTTTGAGGCTGGGTTAAAACAAGATAAAAGGCCAGTTGCGTTTGCATGGCCACTGAGAGCCCTGCGTGTTTACCTGTAGGCCTCATCTCCAGCTGTGAAGGGAGAGAGGGGATGCGGAAGGAGGATGCAGGCCGGGCTGGTGAAGCGGCTGCAGGATCACCAGGTGGTGGTTGGCAGGAGCTTTGGAGTTCAAAGCCACAGTCCTGTTGAGAGAGAATACATGAGAGCTCCCAGTCTGTTGGATGGTAGTTGAGTTTTACAGAACAGGCTGTTGAGTGAAAGTTACTGTCTTTTTTCTGATATTAGCCTAAATGTATGCACATAGAATATGGAGAGATTATGTTATGAGAGAAATTATCTTAATTCATCAAATCAGTTTGCTGTAGGTTTCCTCTACATTTCTTTCCTTGCAAAATTTAAAATAGATGCACTGAAAAAAACATGCTGAATGTCCAAATCTTGTTGTGTAAACCATCTTTTAACAACAAATAAAAGAAGTAGTACCCCAGGGGAAAACTTTTAATGTGGGGCAGAAGGAGGAGGAAATGTTCGGTTAGCATCAGCAGTAGCTTAACACAACAACTAAAGCTCCATTATAGCTGAAGGAATGAAAACTGAGGCTGTTATATCTGGAAGTAAGGACAGGAAAGTAAGAGTGGAAAAAAACACTCCAAACCATAGTCCTCTCTATGGTTAAAACTAATATAGCAACATTTCTAAAAAACAGTGCTTTCTCTCTAATTGCCTGCATGACCACACATGTTGAGCACTTAAGGACAAGACGGTACTATGGTTGAGGGAGGAGACCGTCACAGCTTTACAGCACGGCAACAAAATTTGCCTTGTTATCACCTGCTGCGTGGCTGCAGTTAGAAGACATGATTATTGCTCAGCACCATGTGGCGACAAAAGTGTGCTATACTGAGCCTGTGGACAAAAGCCATTACATGTTTCATTTAGAAAATGGTGTGCTTGGTTAGTAAAGATTACAAGTATCCCTTAAGTTGGCAGTTTGAACTTTTCTGCTTCAATTCTTACTGAATCTGGTTGTGCTGTTAATTACAGCAAAAACAGGTTTTCACTGCTTTTAGCTTTGTTTTGGATTTTTTTGAATCATGGTGATGTCATTCTGTTACTAAAATAGCATTATCACAGCAGAAAGCCATGTACATCATAGTAGAATCACTAAAAGTTTCAGTCATTGCTCTGTGATTCACTGCTAATGTCTGTGTGCACATGTGTGTGTTACAGTCTGGATTAAGACCTAACCTGTTGGTTGTCAGTAGGGGAACAGGCTTGAAGCTCAAAGTCAACATGAAAGGGTGGGGTTATAAGCACAGCACAGGCCTCTTCCACAGTCTCACTGGATGGCAGTGGTCCTCGTGTCACAACCTGCGCCACTGGTTCATCCCCCTGTGGATGTGATTAAAGAATTCCTACGGTTTCCATTCTGTTTGAAATTCTGAAAATTTACCAAACTGCTGTTTTAGTGGATATAGAAGACTTAAACTTGATATTGCACTTGCACAGGATACAAGTAGAAGCTCCAAGTTTAAAAATCAAAGACAAAAAGGTGCCATGATAAATAAATAAACCTCAATGGACAGCACTCAAGTCACACTTGGTTTGCTTACGAGTGCTTGTTTTTCTCTTTTTGGATGCTTGCAGTCAAAAAGTCCTGTGCAGCACTGAGATCCAACAGAGGAGTTAAAAATAATCAGCAGATCCAATGGAAGCCAAGTACAGAGAGGTAAAACCTTTTAGTTAAATTATTTACAGCAGTCAAGTGAGTATGTGGTCAAAGTGAGCATACCTCATGCTCCTCCAGACTGAAGTGGGGGATAGGAGCAGTACCCTCTCTAATCTCCAACTTGCAGCTTTCTAGTGGGCCAACACGCCTCCTCTTACTGGCTGTGGGTGTCACCAGTAGTGGGTGGTTCTCCTTCTCTCCATCATGGCTGTTCCCATCTGAGAGAGAGGGGGTGGGGGGAAAACAAAAACACATAATATCTGTTAAATAAAAATAAATAAAATATCGTATATCAAACAAACATAAAAATCACAGCTTGAAAAACAACTTTTCAAAAAACTGAATCAAAGAAATGGAGATAAAGTCTCACTTCTGCAACAGACTCAGACACTAGGCAATTTAAGGAGCTGACCAAGCTAAGAAGAAATGACTGCTGTAAGATGTTGTCAGAGTCAGGCTTATACTGTGCTATGCAGTAATCCATTGCTTTTGAACAGTGCCTCCAGACATCATAAAGAAATCCTACTGGCATATATCCTTGTTGAGAAATGAAACTATTAATCCTGTGGCAATGAGGCAGCCTCACCAGACAGATAATCTCTTGTCTTGATGCATCCTCCAGTGTTGCTGTCCTGCTTTGGCATCGGATCACAGACCTCACTCTCTTCAACATCCATCAGGTTCTGGAAGGAGGCCATCTTCTGCCTCAGTGTGGAGGCGACCCGGAAGGGGCTACTTCTGACAGGCTGAGAGTTGAGACAGCAAAAACAAACACACATATCTGCTCAGTGATGCAGCTTGACAGGTCATAGACTTCTGAAATTACTGGAGTGGTATTACTGAGAGGGAGCACATCTATCACACACACATACACACAATTATGGTTTGCTGAGCTACGCATCATCTAACAGGCGAGTCACAGTAGGTCTCATGCTTGAGAATATTAAGTCATTACCATTCACACAAGAGTAAAATAATACTTTCCTTCAAGCTCAATTTGACCCAGAATGTATCCCTTTAATATCAGATTCCCCACCTGCAGACTAGAGAATTGGTAGTTCTGCCAGTGTAAAAAAAGTACCTTAACTCCATAGAAACCTGAACGTCTGCAACATAACGCACTTTCCTATTGTCCATTATACGCTCACTGTGCCAACACATTTAGCTATATGTGATGCACTTTCATTTTAATCCTGAGTGCAAGCCATATATGCTTGTGACATTAATATATTAAATACATATATTGTGATATGATTCATGATTAGCGTGGGAATTCACTGAAGAGACTACCACAATCATAAAATCTGAAGAACAAGATTTGTAGGCCAGTGCATCTCTTCAGAATCACAGTTCTTCAGTAGAAACATTTTTTGGAGCTTCTGCGATTTGGATATTGCACTTAGCCATACTGAGATTTCAATAACATTTCCATTAATTGTGCTGCCCTAGTGCCCACCTCTTGTCCTTCAACAATGCTGATGTAAGCAAACCTTTAGTAGCATCAGAAATCAATAATAAGTTAAACGCAGAGATTGTCTATTGTTAGTCCAACTAAAATGTGTTTCAAATAACTGAGGCAGATTTGGGTTTAGGTAGGGAGGACAGCAGAATGTTATGATGACTATTTATGCCATGGAGACGTGTTACTATTAGCACACTGACCGACATGTTTTATTTATCCCTCAGGCCTACATGGTGCACGTCTATGATGATTAAATATTGGGTGAGGTATCACTTTAATGAGTTCTCTATGGTATTATTTTATGTTAGAAAAGGCAGTAATGTACTCTAATATATGAATGCATTCAACATGGCACAAGAAAAAAGCCTTTAAGCATTATTACACTTTCACATGGCTTGACCTTTCTCTCCACATTGATCTTGTCAAGGCTTGTTTTGTGAAGTTGATATATTTGGGTCATCCTGTATATTCCCCTCACACTAGTATTTCAATTACAGAGAAGCCAGGGAGGACACAGCTTTCTTAAAAGCAATACACCTTCTTTTCATTAAGTGATATTTACTATTCTATTGTATTATATTACTTCCACAATTATAGATAAAAATGACGTCTTTCTCCCAGACAGGTGGTTTTATATTGATCAGAACTTGGAAAGCCCCCCCCCTCCCCAGATAATTCAGCATATATAATCGTATATCAGACCATGTCAAAGTGTTGTTTGGCCTGTACTTGTTTTAAGGGGGTGTCTTATTTACTAATAAGCTTCAATTGTTTTCTTTTGTTTTTTTATAGCATGTATTTTACAGCTGTGTACTAAATGCAGTCTGCACATGACTGAGGCTGTGAAAGGTTCTGTGTGAAGTTCTGTCCATATACTAATATACTGTGTATAACACACACCGATCAGCCATAAGATTCTGAGCACTGACTGGTGAAGTGAAAAACACTGATGATGTGGTTATCATGGCTCCTGTCAGTGGGTGGGATATATTAGGCAGCAAGTGAACATTTTGTCCTCAAAGTTGATGTGTTAGAAGCAGGAAAAATGGGCAGCGTGAGGATTTGAGAGAAAAAGGGCAGTGTGAAGCATCTTGAGCGAACTTTGATAAGGCCTGAATATGATGGCAAGATGGCTGGTCAGAGTATCTCCGAAACTGCAGCTCTTGTGGGGTGTTCCCAGGTCTGAGGAGGTCAGTACCTATCAAACGTGCTCCAAGGAAGGGAAAAGCGGTAAACTGGGAGACAGGGGTCATGGGGGGCTAAGACTCCAAAAAGGGGGGAATTAATGGCACGCTGGGAGTGAAAGGCTTGGCCCGTGTTGGTCCGATCCAACAGACGAGCTACTGTAGCTCAGAACTGCTTGGAAACAGTTAATGGCTGGTTCTGAGTAGAAAGGGTCAGAAACACACAGTGCAGAGCAGTCTGCTGTGCCCAGGTGGTCATAAAGTTATGGCAGAATGTGTGATACATGGCAGTGTTTCTGCTACATTCTTACAAATGTGACAGGACACATTTGAGCTTTACAATATCACAGCCATCCCCTCTACATAATATGGCTTTATGCAACAGCATTTGCCAGACATCACTCTGTTATTCAACCGTCACTGACACAGTGAGAGACATGTCATTTTTCTGTTCTGCTCTGCTTATTGCCGAATTAAACTAATGTTTATGCATAAAGCTACAGTCAGACACTTCCTCGGTGTGCTTCATAGGCTAATCATGGCTGCATACAGTAAGGTCTGTATCGAGACACAGCATCAGTAGCTCTACACAGGCCATTGTGTGTTACATGCGTTAGACAAGTTGCATAGCCTGTCTGCCCTCAGGCAAAGATATGGTAATAATTTTACTGAAGCTAATGTGAAGCTCCACAACAAATTATTTGTCTCTGTTTACAAGAAGCAAACTCTTTTTAATTATTATCAAGAAAGCGTTACAAACCAAGGAGAAGCCAGTGAATGCTACACAGTAAATATTCATAGGCTTTAAATATCTCAATATCTCACTGTGTGTCTAAACCAATGTGTGTGAATGTGATGCCGAACGCTCTAATCTGATCTCCACTCATCTGTAATAACCTGGTGAAGCTGGAGTGAACTGGCCACAGCAAGTTCTGTTAACAGCACGTTGTGAGTGCACAGAAACATGTACTGTAAATGTGTGTGTAGTTGTGGCAATGAGACAGTCCTCGGATGCATTCACATACAGTACGAGTAATTTATGTCAGTTTTAAATATTGATCACGGGGAGCCAACCAAAATCCTGACTGTAAGCTGAACACGGCCTCACACTGCACTGGTGTGACTGGGATCACTCCTCACCTCAGGAGTTTGGAAGGTTGGTGGAGTCTTCATCTTCTGTTGGGCCATGAAGCGGATGAGGGAGTTTGTCTCTGGGGAGCCCCGGACACCAATGCTGGACCGCCGCCTTGCCTTTATTTGTGCTAGACGGGACTTATCTAGAGCAAGAGGGAGAAGAATGCCACTTCAGTAGCACTCGAGTGCTATACAGCATGTGATGCATTTATGTATTTTGCAGCTCATTTTATGCATTAGTAGCTCTGAAGAGGCCATCTGTCACTGCTTTGGTCACATTTGTGATTGTAGTAGTGTTGTTTGGATGGTTTATTACAGATTATAACAAACCCTACAGTACATAGAGATGAATGACAATTTAAAGGGAAAAGCTCCTAGCCTCTGGAACCTTCTCAACTCTCCCATAGGTGTCCAATTGATTCACATCATTTCCATTCAATGACCCCTTTTATCCTGCATCTGTTTGTGTCACGTTCCTCCACTCACTCATTCAGGTTCTTCCCTTCAATTTGTCAACCGTCTGTATATACAGCACTTCAATCACGGGCTCTACCAGCAGGGGCTGAGCACAGTCAATACAAAGTAAACACTTCTGCCTGTAGAAGGCTATGTATATGCAAGAGCAGTTTCTCATCAAATAAGGAGCAGTCCTCTCACCTTTGCGGTTTGACAGTGATGCGGGGGTAAAACTCTGGACAGAGATGCCAAACTGACATGGTGTGAGCTCGGTGAAATTCAGGGGGGCTGAGGTGTCATTTATGACAGGAGGGGAGTCCTCCTCTGAGGGGGACACCATTTTCTCTTTCTGCTCTCCCTCTGTGATACCAGTGTTCATCTCCACAGCGGTAGCCACCTGCATAGGAAATCAAAAGAGCCGCAGGAACATGTGTCAATAGTAGTTACTGGGGGAAGCTTAAAGAGGGATGACAACGGAGGGAGAGTCAGTCACATGTATTTCCTTATTATATCCTTCCAGTAAGGATCATGCTTGTAGGCCATGGCAGCAGGCAATGATATATATTCTAACATTTCAACGTTCAACAAAACGCCCCATAACGTTGCAAAAAGGTAATGTTCCCCCGACTTCACCAGGCTGCTGATATAATATATTATAATTAATTGACGGAATACTCTGGTAACAGAAGAAAACACGCTAATACTAAGGTTTGTTAGCGTTAACTCAAAACTCCCTGCATGTGCTTCATAATAAATGAGTTTATTGAATGAATAAAGAACTGCGAGCAGTTTCGGACCTCTGTCAGAAAAGCAACATTATTATCGCCGACCCGCTCAGGGAAATTAAACCAACATGAATTGTAGTTTGTCTCTGCTCACACGGGACGTTAACGTTAGCTAGTAGCAACAACAGTGTGTCAAGCAAGTAAGAAACTTACCTTGTACATTTATGGTAAATTATAGTGGTGTCTGCTGTTAAAATATACATTAAAAACACACATAAGTCATTAAAGGTTCACTTATATCTCAATTCATATTCCTATAAAATCCCAACGATAAAAGGAGCAATTCAAATCGCGCTCCACGCCAGAGGCAGCGGCTGCGTATGGATCCCTCCGCGATATAAGGTCAGCAACGCTGTTAAACAACACGCACTTACACAGCACAACTTCAAAAAACAAAACGCGCGGTGTATAATGTAATTTTGTTAGCAAATTTAAAATGTGTATAAAACGGCGCGCGTTATTAAAACGGGTCGATAGACCAGGGAAAATGTATCGTTCGGAGGAACTAACTTCCGTGTTTTCAAACACTTGAAAACGACCGGAACTTCTTTAATATGAATTGGCCAATAGAAAGGCCAGACAAGATACCACGTGACCTACAAAAGTCAAATCAGGTTAAAGTGATACGTTTGCAGATGTCGGATTTCTCAATACCCCCTGTACGGCCTTGTAATCAACATGATTATAAGATTGGAGAAGCAGGTTTGTGAATGTGTGTGGCTTGACATGTACACAAATAACCAGACAAACAAACAAAATAAAAAAAATTTACATCGTAAAAATGTATAGGGTTGACTGATTTATTGATGTGCACATGTGATAAAATCACTCACCCATTCATTTAAACGGATACAACCACTGATCCATGGCCCAGATGCAAAAAAGCCAAGCAATCATTTTAATGTTTTGGGGTGAAATAAAAAAACAACTTTTTCTCTCCAGCAGTCCAGCTGGACTGGAACTTGCTCCCATGTCTGTGGGGCCCCATCTGCTGTTGGCTGTCTTGAAACCGAACAGCTGGAGCTGGACTGCACCCCTTTCTCACTCTGTTGGCTCTGACCTGATGCTCAAAGTTAAAACTCTACCAATCTGTCAGCCAGACAGGTAGCTATCAGCATTTTCTTGTTGGAGGTCATAGTATACACATACTGCATTATATTTATTCCTTTTAACACATGTGGGTTTTGGGCCACAACAACCTGGAAACATAGTACTTTTTGTCCTTTCACTTTCTTTAATTGTGAAGCTATGGCTGTGGCATCAGCTTTGATGCAGAGTAGGTTATAAGCCTAATGCAACAGAATGAACCAAAATGAGTGGTGCTTAAGCAATTAATAATGTATTTAACCATAAATGACCATATTTTCATGTGGTTTACCTTGGTTTTACATAAATCTGTGTGACCGAAAATCAATAAGCCTAAACAGGTGGGTGTACCGTGGTCTTCTCTTGAAAAGCTCAGTAAACCCTACCCACACACACCAGTTGCAAACATACACACAGAGTCCCCCTTTTTCTGAGGTTTCAGAGTCTGTGGCACAGCTGAGTACACTGACATCAGATGCCACTGTGAGCCTCTTTCCACAGCCGGGACTATCGACCACATGAAGCATGTGGCTTCTTCTGTTGACACCAGGCAAGGCTGTGCAAGCCAGTGGAGGCTTGACTGTTGTTGCTGTTGCACAGGCTGAGAAAACAACTCTAGACATTCACAGGTGAATAACTCTGTATGCGTATGAGTTCCTGTCGAAAATGACATGCTTACAATTTGAAGAACTGAAGACTTCCAGTTTTTGAAACTGTAAACATCTGAGTTCTGGAAACCTATAAAGACTACAGCGTTTTGTTAGAATCCACCTGTATATTTATTATTTATTTATATTTATTATATATTATATTGTTTTTAGTGTGTATATTTGATTATGCTTTAAGACCCTCATTTTGCCACTTCAAATGGTTCTAATTGACTAAAAGTGTCAGCATTTTAGGAGTAAAGAGCCCCTTCATCAACACCACTCACCTTGTTTCAAGTTTTGTGGTTGAACTGATTTTGAACAAATATTGATATAAAATAATGCCATAAAACTTTATTTTATTAAGACATAGGGTTTGTGGGGGATTGTTGATGTTTAGGCTAGGTCTCTATTCTTTTTTAGTAGATTTGGTCATGTTTGTATTTTACTTTTAGTCCTGCTCTGGGTGACTGAAGCTGACCATTGCAGCTCTTTTAGCAATATATTTTCCTCATTTGCGAACTACTTTTTCTAAACAACTTACATCTGACTCAGGTCTGTTGCAAATGTGAGTGAGCCTATTAGCTTGGTTTTAAAGTCACCCAGTTCTCTGTCCTAGCCCCCACTGTCACTGGATCACTTCCTGACAGGAGGCAGCAGGGGAGGCGGCAGGGGAATCATACATACTTGGCCAAAACAGCTGATTCTGATTCTTAAAGCAATGAATAAAGACCAGCCTCACATTGTTTATCATCCTATTTGTATCTTCAATTACCTCCTCCCCTGAGGTACACATACTCCTGGTTGGCAAAACTCCAGTGACATAGTGTTGCATTTCCATAAAGTCTGGGGGCTCACAAGAAACCAAAATAGATGGTCAAAACTGAAGCAGCAGAGGCCAAGATATCCTGACTTTAAGGTCCTATGAGTAAAAACACTGGATTCTACATTCTCCATAATGCAACTCAATATCTTCTTTCTCTTAGACCCTCTGTGCCAGGTACACACCCACTCTATGCCGGCTGTTTCTTAAACTAAAACTCTGTTATTAGTATTAGTATTTTTTCCTATAAATTGACGTGTAAAATTGATGGACTTCTTCTTTAACAAACAAACTCACACACCACAAGTATATCTCTATTTTTATTTGTGTATATATACACATATAAAAAATAAGGACATATGTACAATGGTAATAAATATCAACATGTTTGTACAAGTGAAATAAGTTAGCCTATTTGACATATTTTAAAAACAAACATAAAAGATCAAGAACCGACAAGAAAGAAATGGGACAAAATAAAAGCGGGGCGATAATAGAATAATACAAATAATAAGAAAACAGCAGAACTTAAAGCCTTGTGTGACAGAAAATATTATGAGCAAACAAATGCGTAAGAAATGAAGAAATGCACATAAAGTACATTACACATGCATTTTTTTTCAAGCTTGAGACCTGTATATCTTTATCTTTTTAGTTTTTGCAACATGTTATATTAAAAGAAAAGCCCAATTGTAACAGGGAAATATATTAAAGACACAATGAAGTACCAGTGTAAACAGCTAACATGATTTAGCCGCCTGCTTCAGGGGATTTAATAATATAAACACATTCTATCACAGATCTGCTTCAAATGAACAGACACATATTTGGTTTTTAGGGGCTGACAAATTAAATAATGGTTAAAGTTTTGGTACATTATTCAGCTTTTCATAAAGTAAGGGGATAAAGAATTGGGTCCAGCTGATCACCGCTGACATAAAAACAGCAAGCAAACAGGAAGTCCATCAGCCTCAAGCCATTTTTGCGTTTTGCTTGAGGAAAGATTTAGCTGCAGATAAAATATGCAGAAAGGTTGCAGACATCAGCTCAGTGTAGCAAAGTGGACGGACCGCTGAGACTTAAATATCGATCAGGAATCAAATAAAATTAAGTATTTCAAGAAGAACAAAAGCAACTGCAGTCTACTTTGGCTTATCCAAAAGGTGAAGAGGCACAGAAAAAGTAAACATGTTGAAACGCAGCCATGAATTCCTGTACAACCCTTGAACCATAAAATCAGACATATTTTGTCTTTATTTTTTCCATTAGTGTTCCACAATGTGTTTGTAAAAGTCCAAAAATGACAGATCAAAATGATGCACTTGTACAAGGATGGTCATATCAAAGATGTACAGTCCACTTGCAGAGGTTCATGCAACACTAGGATGGAGTGCTGATGGCTGAGTACCTCTTCAACCTTTGGATCATTTTGATATTCTACATCTCTCTCAGCGCTCTGTACACAGTGGGGCAAAACAAGGTATTTTTGTCCTCCCCTTCCTTCTCGCTGTGCTCCTCTGGTCCCGACAGACACGTCCCAAAAATAAAAGCCACCCCTGATGGACAAAGCACAGAAAGAGGACAAAACAATGTAAAGTTAGTAAAAGCAAATATATGTAGTGTTTGCTGTATTTCAAAGTTTCCTTGAAATTAGATCAGAGAGTAGGTTATGTTTTTTAGGACATCATTACCACATCACCTAGGAGACCATCACAGTTTAGTCTGGAACTTCATGCTAACACTGCATTACTCCCTACTGAATCACTGCATGTGACTAGAAAAGAGAATAAATAATATATGAGTGGTGTATGAGAAATTGCAGCATCTGTACAACTAATATGTAGTTATATCTGTCAGTTTTGAGTAAAAGATTGGTATGAAAAAGTGCCGTATACTGCTTGAATCTTGGAAGTATACATTGTTATTAAACAGACGTTTCAGTCTGACAAAGGTCTTCCTTAGGTCAACTTACTTTGATCGTTGTCGGACTGAAACGTTTTTTCTTTAATAAAATGTTCCTAGTCGCAGGCTTCGGGCAGTGCAGGCCCTTTTCTTATCTTTTGCCAGGAAAGTAGCTTTTCTGATGCACCTGTCCCTCCCCGACTTTAATAAAAGTGTGCACAAGAACAGCTTTTCATGAAGAGACTGACCAAATGGTGCAGAAAAATATAATGTAAGAAGACTCAGCATCTACAGCCACGGCTGTCGGCATAACTCTAAAAGGAAACCAGGCTACACTAGCCATACTGACTTTATGGTATTTCATTTTTAAGCTTGTTGGCAATATGCTGTAATAATACCGCTTTATGTTATATATATATTATAATTCTATAAAAATATTATAATTATATTACTATAACAAGAACAGTCTTTAAATGAAATGCTAGTTTCTGCAAGTGGCTAAAGTGTTATTACCTTGAAGCAACAAGGGTTGACTGATCAACCAATGACAATTTGTTCTGTCTTGTCATTTAAATGAAGTTTGATTCATGGAAAATACACTTATTTGCTTTCTTGTCGAGAGTTACATAAGAAGATTGACGCCATGCACTCTCATGTCTGTACGCTAAATCCGGAACTGGAGCCAGTAGGCGCTTAGCTTAGCTTAGCATAAAGACTGACAACAGGGGGAACACAGCTAACCTGGCTTTATCCAGTGGCCTGCCAGCTCATCAACTAACTCCTTTGTTTAATCCATACAAAAACCAAAGTGTAAAAAAACAAGTTATAGGCTATGTGTAGCTGTTACTGCTACGTGGCAGGGACCAGTGACTTTGTGCAGTTTACAGTTTGTTATTTTTCAGACATGAGAGTCGTATCGATTTTCTCATCTAATGAGCAAATAAGTATATTTCCTGAAATTATACCTTTAAGGGATAAGTTGAGCAAGGGGACTGCCTGATAAATAAACTAAATCATTCTTAACACTACACTGAGCAGCCAAAAACCTAAATGGGAAATCGTTAAAGGTTAGGACTTTGCTTAAATCTGTTTGCATGAATGTAATTAAGTGGAACAATACCTTTCACTGGTTCTTGGCTTCCTCCCGCCTGCAGCCAGGAGTTTGTCAGCAAGGCAACAATCAGTTTGTCTGTCTGTCCATTAGTCCATCAACACTGTGTGTGTCTTCTTTTTGTGTTGGTGTGTTTTACAGTGCTCTTCCTCTGTATAAGTCCACAGTAGCCCCGGGTAAGTCTCTGGGCGTCGGTAAGAGGGAAGGGTTTCATGGTGTTTAAGGGTACGTCACAAACCCACTGTAGTCCAGGATGGTCGGCATTCAGAGGACTGTGAGTGTGTGTGTGTGTGTGTGTGTGTGGGAGGAGTACTTTCCTTCTTGGCAGTGCAAGTTACCACCCTCACCAAACACAAGATATAAAGCACTTATTGAGACATCCACAGCGGTCGCAACAGTGAGGGTTCAACTACATTCTCCATGCCTAATGTCTTCATGTCAGCTTCAATTTGGAATTAAGTGTGCAGTTATTGTTACGCTGCTGCTAAGAGCTGAATGCAAATAGCCTTCTCTTTCTGAAGAGATGAACAAACGTCCAAAAGGGCTCAAAGAAAACACGCGTCTGTAACACACTGTGACTCTAATAAATGTCATTTGGAGTGTATATCGGACTTGAAGGTGCGTTTGAGGGTCACCGTGCAGGATTGAGTGAGGAACGTAAGCGCTTGCCCTCGCATTGTCATTCACAGAGTGGAGCCATTAGTCACTTGATAAGTGTTTGAACACTGTTGTAGTCCGTAAGACATAGAAAAACAACAACAGAAATGTCTTAATTCAAACCAACCATCACAACAAATTAAAGTGGAAGGGAATCGAGGACTCTCTCTGGGGGTAAATACAACATGGGGGGGAAAAAAATACAAATTGAGCAGAGAAAGTCTTGAGAGATTGTCCTTCATTCAAAAACCCCCTTTCGTCTTTCACTCCAATTCACTTCATTTTCCATTTAATTTCCTCTCTCTTTGTCTCTCGCTCTCTCTCCTCTCCTCTCGGTCCCACGCAGAGCTCCTGCTACGGGGACATGATTGTCGTCTTGCTTCGAGATTAATTAGTCTTTTTATACCGCTCTCACACTCTTGGCTCACAAATACAAAAAGGGAAGTCGTGCTTCCAGTTTTTAAGTGCAGTAAGCGGAAAAGGTCTCAAAGGAACAGGACAGAAGATTCAGTTCATACTTCCAGTCGGTTGCATTTGCCGTTCGTCAACTGGTTTCAGCACAGGGGCTAAAAGCCTCACTTGGTCCACTCAACATAAAAGAAATGTGCCCTTCAGAAACGCCATTTGTTTAATTTCCATGCTTGAGGTGCTCCCCTTTGCGTTCAACCTTTTTTTAAATACACAATTTACACAAGTGGCGATTGCACAGTGGAAGAAGAAAAAGCCACAATCATGACTGTTGCCCAGAACACAATAATAATAGGATAGGAGTGCATGTTGGCGAACACGGTGTATGAGTGTGTATATTTAACATGCTGTGTGCTATAAATGTCTACAGTGAGCCAAACAGGCATTGGCAGAGCGAGAGAGAGAGAGAGCATGGGGAATTGACAGCGTGTCACTGAAAGAGAGAGCAGGCATCCTCAGAAGGATGGAGGTAGGTTGGTTGTTTTGTTTTTCCAACTCAGAGAATGGAGACAGGAGGAGGACAGGCCTAGACGGACGACTCCTCGGGGTTGGCGTCGGGGAGCACGCTTCTCTGCTGCAGAGTGCGTCTCAGCTCTTCCTTGAAGGGGCTGGAGTAGTCGTTCCCGCCCATGCCCAGGCCCCCCAACCCGCCGCCCCCAGCGCCAGCCCCGCTAGCCCTCTCCTCCCCTGCTGTGCTCAGGTTGAGGCGGATGTAGCCGTTGCTACCGGAGCCTCGGATGTTGGTGAGGCTGAGACGGCTGGGGGAGTGAATGGGCTGGCCGGGAATGGCGCTGGGTGACGCCGTGCTGCTGACGCTGCTTGGCCCCAGGGCGTGACCGGGAACGATCTTCAGTGAGCCGTCTGAGTAGTAGTAGTTGGCGCCCGTCTCCCAGAAACGGTCTTCGTCGCTGGGCATCTTGCTGGGCACAAAGGTGGGTGGCTCCTTGGGCAGGGTGATGGGGTAGACCAGGGTGCTCTCAAGAGGCTTCATGTCAGCTCCCTTGCCCAGTGCCAGCTTCAGCCTCCTGCGAAGGTAAAGAGCTGCTACAAGGAGAAGCAGGCACGCCGCTCCGAGGGTGATCACCAGCACCCAGAAGAGCCCCATGCTGCTGTCTGGAGCCCGGGCCTCCATGAAGACCGGAGCGCTGGCTACTACGGCCACCTGATAGCGCTCTGTCTGAAACTTGACCCCCTGCTCTTCAGAGTAGCAGATATAGCGGCCCGCTTGCATCTGGCCCGCTGCTGGGACGACGAGGGCCTTGAGGGTCCGGTCGAAGCGTGGTCCTCCTGCCTCAGGGTCACCCAGCTGGAGCTCACGGTCGTTGAGAACCCAGAAGGGTTGAGCCAGGTTGGAGACCAGCTGGCAAGGCAGCACCATGTCAGATCCCACCACCACTGTTATGTTCCTCAGACGAGAGTGCTCTGCAGAGGAACAGGAGACGAGCAGGAGGAGGAGGCGAGGAAGGAGACGGGGTTAGTATCATCCATAATAATTCCTATTCATATTTCACAGCAGCCAGCTCTCTTCTACTTAATTCAATTTATTCAGCTGAATCCAAATGTATTCTCTTAGTCCAGCTAAAGTCCATTGTCTTTCCTTAACGCACTGACTCCTGCACTGACAGTCAATTCCCACAAGGGGGCCACTACTGAGGTGTGGCCCCATACTCACCAGGGCTGGGAATGGAGACGGGCTTATCGAACTTGGCTTTCCCCCGGCTGAACCTTTCCAGCATGAGGTCCTGTGACAGGGAGGAGGTGGACCTGGAGGGGAAAGAGCAGAAAGCAGAGCGGAAGATTAATAATGGTTTCTCACTCGAGCTGAGGGACAAATACACACACAAGAGTACCACAAACAACAATGGATCCAATGTGTATGTGCAAACATGTCAAAACATTTTCAACATTTTAGCTACAAATTAAGATAGACAATACTGTATATCGGCCTGTTATTATAACATATTGTAGATATGGTAAATGTTATTCAGTTCTGATATGCAGGAGGCCCACCCTGGCCTCTTGTAAATATAATATTTTATGGTTATGGAAATCGTAGCATGTAAAGCAGAGGATTTTACTCAACAGCTTCTGGGTGAACGTCTGTAACACTGCCAAAGAAGCGCACTCTTCTGTAAGGCACTGCTATATCCAGCCAAGAGACTTTCATTTTAAGGTTTAAGGGGCACATACTATCTAAATACAGTTTCTGAGGATTTTCCAATATTTGCAATCAGCAGCTTCTATTAAAATGGCAAAAGCAAGCCCTTAAAATGTCAATATTAGTCTATTGTATATCTAGAATATGGTGTGAATGCGTGGGTGCACATAGGTTCTCATCTCACCCGCGGTGGAGGTCGATACGGACACAGGCCCGACCCTCACTATCCCAAGCGCAGTAGGGATCCCGAGCGAGCAGACAGTCTGGCTGAGACTGATAGCGGCTGCAGTTGGCCAAGGGCAGCTGGAGAACTTCCGAACGAGAGCCTATGTACACGTACTTCTTCAGAGAAATATAAAGAGAGGAAGAAGAAGAGAGGAGAGAGGAAGACAAAGAGCAGATCCAGCCATCACCCAGAGACAGAAGCCAGAGAGAGATGAAAAGCAAGACGGAAGATAAACAGAGAAAGAGGGAGAGAGTGACTCAGTTAGGGGTTAGAGGAGATAATGGGATAATCACTCTCAATTACAATAACATTCACCCCCCCGACCCTCGTCCAATCCAATCTGGGTTGCACTCTTTTTGCAAAAGCTGTTATAAAATGTCTGGTCGCGGCTAAGCCAGCATTAATGAGATAAGCAGTGGGCTTTAGTGCTGGGAACGCCCCGTCAGAACTGCATCGATTGGCGGACCTGCCACTGTAGAGCCACAAGGCCCAGGCCAGCGTCAACACACAGGCTCAGCTGACAGGGCAGGGAGATTGAGAAAACAACAGGGGCAGAGGTTCAATTCCCTGCCGCGATGAAGGATTGTAATTACTGTTATTGTGAAGAGGGGCTTGGAGTCATGAGGCGACTCTTGATCTGAAAAAGGGCCATGTTGATAAAAACATCTGCTGAGTGGCACCGGGCCAATGGCACCGTGCTGACTGCCTGTCTGTTGTCAATGGATCTATGATTGAAGTGTCTGGCAACACAGATCAACAGAAGACTAAGTCCTGCTGTTATCACTGAATACCAATCAGCAAGTGATGCAACAGCAAAGCAAGCTAATGGAACCAAAACCATACTTTCAAGGGACATGATCAGATGAAGTACAGAAACTTTGAACAACATTTCCCCTGAGAGACCATTAAGGTTCCTCAACTCAAAGACAAACAAAACGTCTAGGAGTCCATGCTGACAATATGCACATGGCTGTGCTTTACTATATTGAGTGGGAGCAGCTTGAAGCTCAAACTCAAATGATCCCCCCAAAAAGCTGCTTTCTTATTAAAATCCCTTCTGCCTCAATTTGTCGTATTGAATCTGTTAAGAAAAATGTCTCAACAAAAATTTATCCAGACAGAGACAAAGACTTATTACATTTAGAGATATTCCTTTTTATTGTGCAAATATTAGACTCTATTTAGACCTAAATCGAAGTGATCTCTTATCTTGAACAGGCACAGCGCAGACTTAAACACTGCTGCATCAGACAGTCACGCCAACTATACGCTGTGATTGGCTAGACGTGCAGAGGCGAGAAAGAAGGGTGAGATGGTCAAAATTGATGAAACAGAGGCTAACATCCTGACATTTTATTTCTAGTTGGTGTCTAGCTCTAAAACTGCTGGATGCATCTTTTCATCAGACCCTCCCTGCGTGGTTAACACACTCCATGCCTCGAGCTTGTAATGCAGCCTTTCTATTAAAAATGCGTAGTCTTCAAGCCCATGAAGATATTACACAACTGTTTTCACATGCTGAGTCCCTATGGTTAGCGTAAAACATTTAGTGCATGTGTAAAAATGGCTGCAGTTCCCCTTGAAAAACAAATGGCTAAACATAACCGAGAGACATCCTATTCTCTTTTCCTTACCTTGGAGTGAGAGATGGTCAGGCTGTCCACGGGCTGGGCGTTCTCAAACAGCTGGATCTCCTCTATCACGTGGGCCTCGGAGCCCAGAATCACCACCCTTTGCAGCCATCCCTCTGCTGCAGTGCAAAGGAGAGGAAGAGGAAGATGGAAGAGGGTTCAGCTCACTTCACCTCAGTTCGATCAAACTTTTAATTCAAGTTCGTTTCAGTGCAATACATTTTCTGTATCCCCTCAGAGCATATGCATAAAAACATATAATTGAGGGTCAGAGTCCTGATACAAAATACCCAATAAACACACACCTTTGACAGTGGAGCAGCTCATTTAAATATATGATATTAAAAATATTTACACCTACACCTGTGACTGCACACCAGTTCATTTGAATATCAAAGACGTGATATCATAAATTTACCCATACACCTGTGACTGCACATCAGTCAATTTAAATATTAATGATCTGTAAACACAACGCCTGTGACTGCGCAGCATTTTACTTAAATATTAATGGCATAATAACACATTCACAGACACACACCTGTGACTGCATAGAAGCTCATTTACATATTAATGGTGAGATATTATGATATACAAACACACTCCTTTGATGCCAAAACAACTTATTCAAAATTATTAATTTATAAAAAAAATAAAAAAAAATAAATACATTTATTAATCAGAAGCCAAGCTGATAATCATCACGTATGCCAGCAGCAAACTATACTGAGTGTGTTTCTCAGGTGCTATCAGGTAATGTTGTGCCTTGCAATGCCTTGCTGCTACCCGGACAAAATTGAACCTAAGGCAAAGGCTCTTTTAATGCTTAATTTCGACTTATCACAGAAGGAAAAGCAAATGTTAAACTAATAGGATTAATGATATTTAGGCTGCTCCAGTGTCAGAGTCGTTCCTGCAAATAGCAAGGCCCTGAAACTGGAGCACCTTAGAATACAGCCTTAATCAATGTTATTAATTACATTTGTGCTTTTCCTGTCATGTTGTCAAACCGTGCTGTAAAAAAAGGTCAAGAAGGAAGTACTCCACAGAAAAAGTAAACTTGAGGTCACAGGCATGGTAACGACACATGCGCACGGTGTCATCACACTGTCTGCCACTTTCATCAACTTCAATTTGTGAAACTTTTAATGCCAGCTGCACTAAAATTTCATGCTGCTCTGTGACCGAGAAAGACAGAAAATGAAAAAGAAAACAACTTCTCCTGCCAGACCTTACAGCTGCATTACCGGGCCGAGTCCAGCACAGCAAGAAACTGTCTAAAGGTGAATTTAAAAGAGTCGAGATGCTGTTCCTGGCCTTTTAAGACCTTGGGTAGAGGTAATATTATCAGAGACATTTGAAGATGTTTTCAGGCGGCATGTGGGGAGCTGATGCTGGAGGAGGAAGAAGAGGAGATCCTGTGCTCCTTTCATGTAGGGCATTGTGAACAAGTTTAGATCCCCTGTGATGAAAGGCGTTTCAGGCACAGCTGGTAGGGTGACCTTGATGTGTGTGTGTGTGTGTGTGTATCTATGGATGGAATAGTACTATGTGCTGACAGGTGCTTTCTTGTGTGGTCCTCTTGATTAAGAGACTGTCACGGATAATATGAAAAGCTAACCCGGTAGCCAACGGGAAGCTTGAGAGAAGGAAATACATGTACACACACACACACACCGGCATAGTAAGAAGCAGGCATATCATCACACTCGCCTCTTGCGGCGTCAGGGACCAGTGTCGGCTAATCCCTCAATCCTGTAGCCTGCTTTTTCAGAAAAACTGTCTCGACAAGCGCTCCCTCTCTCTCTTTTCACATCAGCTGTCGCTATGCTGCAGCTAATAGCTAATCAAGCCCACAGCCCAATTGGCACTATGAGCGCACGTCTGCCAAGGGCCCTGTTGAGTTTGTGCTGTGAAGCACGGCAAGCGGGGATGACTGCACTTGGCTCAGGGAGTGTGAGCGTGTGTATCTGTGTGTGTATATCAATTTGTGAGTGTTAGTCATGTGTGTGACTCTGTGTGTGTTGGTGTGTCCGTGTGTGTCCGGGTTGGCCTCCCTGCTTGCCAGCAGAGAAGCCCTGAGTCCGCTGTTGTCACACTGTCAGTTGCCACAGTCACTCTGCCGCTGCAGTGATCTGAATGGTAAGCAGTTCAGTCTCTCTCCATTCATGAGATGGGGTGCATTCAAATTCACATTCCCTGGAATCCGCTGTCAGATCTGTGTTATTCAAGATTAAGGCTCTGGGAGGTTTCGGCTGACTTCAGATCTGTGCCAAAACAGGATGCCCGCATATGGGCCCGATGGCTACTGACTGGAGATATTAATTAAGTTGCGCATACCTAGACGTTTCCTTTGATGCATGAAGATGGAGCTCAGCATGCAAATCAAGCCCCTAATTGAAACCCAGCTGAAGTCTGGCCAGATGGCATGTTGTTTTGTGCCACCATACCTAATGCCAGTACCTGTCCCTGTCTGCTGCCACGGCCTGTACGCTCACAACTCTTCAACAAATACTATGTTCAGCTCACCTCAACACACACACACACACATGCACTCACCCACAGTGGGGAAATAAGGGAATATGACTGTGTACGTTTTTTCATTGCCACATTGAGAACACCATACAACAGGAGGTGTGCAAAATAACAAGAACACACCATATACTGGATATTAAAACTGGATGTTAAAAATACTAGCTTCATTTAATGTAGTTTCAATGTACACAATGCAATTTTCTGCCACCAGGGGTCTCTTATATCAAAACAACAAGAAAAAACTAGTTTGCTGACATCGTGAACTATTCATTTATAGACAATTTAAAAAGTTGAAGCATCAGTTGGAAGCGGTGACAGCAGCAGCTGGTTGGAGTAATGGAGCTGTCAGTTGAAATGTGGTGGTTGGTTTAAAGGTTGAATTAAGTTTCCACTATTTTTATGAATTATTACTATTTGGATATTTTTCGTAATTTAAAAAATAAAACTACCAATGGCATGTCATTTGTACCTGTGCCGATGAAGAGCATGTTGTACGCTCGCTGGTCCAGCGCGCTAACCCGATCCACCGCCAGCCTCGTGAAGTTGACGCCCTTGGTGAGCAGCAGGGGGCGTGCCAGAGCTTTGTCCTCCATCAGCGGGTGCTTCTTGGCAAAGTTGAGCGTGGCGTCAGGCAGCTGCAGGGAACTGTTGTAGCCATTCTCCCTGTCTGAGTTAGTTATACACTGCAGCACAGACAGAGGACGGAGACACAGGGGAGGGAAATTGAGGACGGAAAGGAATGAAGGAAAGGATGAGGGGAAGAGTGAGAGCGAAGAGAGAGGAAGAGGAGGAAACTTTTTAGTTGCAGCTGGCACAGGTTGGCATGGCTAGTTGGCTTTGAGATGGCTGCCCTCTCTCCCTCCCCTTCCCCTCTTCTCCATCTTTCTTTCACTCTCACTCTCACCTCCGCCTGCCATCACACCCCTTCCTCTGCTCCCTTTCCTTTCGTCCTGGATCATTACATTCTTAGCTTTTCGTGTCGTGCCAGCTTTTGCTCTTTTCCACTTCCCTCGCTACAGTACCACACGCCACCCATTTCCCTCCCTCCCTCTTTCATTATCCCTCCTCTGCCCACTCATCTCTCCTTTTGTGATGCAGTGGTTGACAAAAAAACAGGTGCACAGAACCCCTACATTTCGGAATAATAATAACCTTTTCTTGCTTCCTGAAGTTGCTTTGAAATATTTTCATTTACCAAACATCATATATCCTGTGTGCCAGTACAGGGCTCCCAGTTTCTTACCGATCCAGGCCGTGGGACAGGGACAGCACCGGTGTAGCGTCCCCACCTTTGGGATGCCTCCCTGTACTCTTTGTAAGATCCTTCAAACACCTTTTTCACATCACCGATCTGGTACTGGCACACCGCCGACACGTCCACATCTCCCCTGAAACATGGCGGCAATTAGTGATGTGTGGCAGTAAAAACTGAGAGATAGATTGCCTGTCATCCACTGGTGGAAAGTGTGACTTTTCGGCAGCAAGCAGCTTCCGAATGCAGCACACGTAAAGTCAGACTAACATACAAGAATGTGAGATATACTAAACAGAATGGAATATGGGAGAATATAGCAAAATATACATATCTATTGAATGTTAAAAGCATGGAATAAGAACAAAGATGTTTACAATAGGCTGTCAAGGTGAGCAGAACAATATATTCAGTAAATATTTATCGTAAACATTAACCCTACAGACTAAACTTTTCGGAGTTAAGGAATGAGCTGTAATGATTAAATGTGTTGACACATCTCCACTCTTTCTGTGGTGAGGCAAATAGATGTGCATGTAATACACTTCTTTGATAGGCCACTGAAATCAATCAAGTTGGTGCTGTGACTCAGGAAATGCATTTCATTTAATGGTAAGGTCGGGGGCGTGCAATCTTAATTTTTTTTCCTCAGCCCAATTTGAGACCCCAAGTGGGACTGAAATTGAGTATTGACGCATGACCCAGACACATTAAATCATACTTGTACTCCTCATTGCACAAATATATTTGATTTCCATGCTCATCCGCTGCAATGGAAACAACTTTTTTCTTTAGCTCCTAAGCTCAAGATTCACCGATGTATTAATACAAAGAGCCAAACTTTTTATAGTCAAACATGACAAATAAATTCTGGGTTGGTTCTTTAGCAGGATGATGACTTTATCAGAAGTCCCAAATGTTATTGCAGTTACACCGCTCCAAATTTAGCTTTTAACTGAGTGTGTACTGTCGCTGTAAAATCTCTTCCAAAGCTGTAAACAGTAAAGGAAGAGTTTGTGTCTGTTAATTGAGAGATTTTTACAGTCTGGAACAGTACTGTTAATGTGCAGCAGGGCCACAGGTTTTATAAGGTTAATGTCAAAACCAAAGGACACCAGTGATGTCTTAGCAAGTTAAAAAGCTAGCCCGTTCAGTGAGATTATGGCTTGAACTCCAAGTCATCATTTACATAATGTCCAATTATCTTAATGTTATCTCTATCAAAGCCAGGGGGCTTTAAGGAATCCCCAGCGAGTCACACAGAGAAAAAGGATTAGGTTTTTTTTTTTCAGCAGCAGTAGGAACTCTGAATGAAGAAACATAGCTTGAAGTTCAAAGCTGGTTCACTTTGCGATATGATATCTTATTGAAGAACACAAAAGACTTACATCAAAGGGTATTACCCTGAGACGGTGAAAGTCTTCAACTTTCCTCCCAAAGAAAACCCCCTGCCCTCGCCCCTATTTCTTTGTTGATAAGTGACTTATCAACACTTTACAGCAAAGTATAGGGGTCCAACATATGCCAATCTTCATCCACTCCACTAGTAACACTCCAATCACTTATCAAAACTAAGTCATTATTGTCAACACCGCTTTAATTACCTACTTGTAGTTTAATTATCACACTTAATTAAGTTTTCTTTACAGTCTAAGAAGAACCAAGGCCAAGAACAGTGGACATCAACAGAGTTTGTTTCCCCTGAGATGTCATTTACTATAGGCATACAATAACCAATGGTATGATGGGTTCTGCTCCCATGAAAAAAAAGGGTAGTTTGGTCATGACACTAAAATTGGAAGCTATATACTGTAAAAAGTGTTTTTAGAGTATTTTTAAGTAATTTGATTCAACCAATGGTTCGAACACAGAATCACCATATATTGATATATACACACTAAAGCTCACTGGGTTAAAAATGGACCCAGCGTTGGTCAATACAGCTCTAGGTTAACTTTACCCAGTACCAGTGGGGTGTCTCTGCCCAATGCCAGTCTTGTTTTTACATTATTGTTGGGTTACTGGATCAAAATCTCCCCATGGGTAATGGGTTACATTAACCCAGTTTTGTGTCTGTCCTATATCGACCCACGCTGGGTCAATTTTTAACCCAATGTTTTTAAAAGGAATGCTTTTAAAAAGTCTTGTTAGATGTGTCTACTTCATGTTTATGATTGTAGCAGAGGACCTAATTGAATCAGTCTGATTCTGTTTGGCAAATGGGTTCACTATCAAGTCTACGTGCCATTAAATCTCCAATAAAACATATTCAAGCCCACTTGTATCCACTTAAAATAACTCACATTACTGTCAGTTAAATGCCTGGTATATTAAAGGCCCAATTACACAGTAAATACCTAATCACACAAAGTACATAATTAGAGCCATCATATCAAAGTGACTGGCTGACCCATGATTTTAATAAAAAGCAGAGTATCGATGTGTGATGAGATGTCTTGCCCTGACCGCAGATAGTATTTGTGGTAATTAACTCCCATTTATGAGGATATACTGAAATTGAGCTACATTTACAGTCTCTATGACACGTCTCTGACAGCGTCGCTCTGACTCACCACTGGGCGTGGAAGATACCATAGAAAGTTGTTCCCCGCCAGTCCTGGCCTGGCAGTGTGAAGACGGCCCTCAGGTTGTTGAAGGTGACGTGGCGCTCGGGGAGGGAGCACTCCAGACGGGCTTTCTGGAAGGTGGTCCACTTCTTCTGCAGGGTTCTGGTGCCACCCAAATCCCCCTGAGAAAGAACATATCAGGTCTTATGAGTGGCTGATGTATGTGCAGATTTTAACACTTTAAGGCGGTCTTCACATTAAGCTGTTTTCTCTGTTCACTTGAGTCTGTTTGAATCCAGTATGCATGAGTGGTCTTGTGAGATCTACTATAGTTTGGAAGCCAACTGTGGTCCAACAGCAGTTTACACAAATGTGATGTTGAGTGAAGTGCACATAAGAAAGAACTTCATTGTCAAGCAGTTATAAAATATTTGCATACTCATAGATTCTGGATTTTTCAACTAGAAATAAATAATATATAGATATCATAAATAATACATTTCAAGAATTTTTAACAAGGTAATCCAACTTTTTTGTGGGAAAAAAACATATCAGACACAAATTATTAATCAAAGTACTGTATTTTTTATATGCTTTAAAACTTATCTGGAGTTGATCTTTAATTTACCCCCTGAACTTTAATGGATCAAACCCTTTGAATGTGCTGTGTCACTCACACATGACACGGCATACTTAAACTTACTACAGGACTTTTTAACTGGTTATGAAGTCTCAGTTTATTACTAATGCCTTTATATGACCTACATAAACAAACAAGACCATCATATAGTTCAGCGCCATAATGCCTGCCACCAGGTCAGATTTGGTCAGATTCCCCTACCAGCCGGTAGAAACACTACTGCTATTGTCCACAGCGGCCGCCAGAATCAACACAAAATAAACCTTCCTCGTAGCTGCTGATTTTCTTGGTCTGTAGTGCATTAATGTCTCACCTTGCTGCAGTGATGTAGAAGTGTACTATAGGGTGTGGACAGTACACAGTGACATCACTGTTGGGTGTGGCTACAGATGCTACAAAGCCTAACCACAACGATGTGGATAGAGATGCAACAGACTTGAAGAGGACAGTGATACTTTTAGAGCTGGTATCAAGGTTACTCTTTAAGTTGACAGTGCTCTGCTCACTTTCTTATTCTATTATGCTGCTGCTTATGTTGCATTTCATTAACCTCACATTCACCTCATGAAAGCTTAATATCATCTCTCTACATACAACGTACATATTCTTTATCTATATAATAATAAAGTTGTTGTACGTGAATTATGATGGAAAAGTGTCTTAAAGAGTATTCAGATGAAATGTTAAAGGGTACCATTGAAATTCAAGATAAAAATAACAGAAATATTCAATTATAAAATAAACACTTCGTTATATATATTGATGAGTAGTCCCTTTATATAGTATTCCGTAGGCTCAAAAGAGGAATGTCTGCCAGACATGTCTCATTCCTTCATTCCTATTATCCTCAGTGATTGCAAAAGCTGTAAAAAACAAATTAAAAAAATGCAAATGCTCATATTACAGCAGTGAGATATACACATTGTGCTTCTGCTGCAATAGAAATAGCAGCAGAATGCGCTAAATTATTCACTGCTCTAGTACACATTGTGTGTGAGCATCTGCTTCTAATTTCATTCAAAGAGCTTTATAGTTCATCACAGCACAGACATTAAAGGGCACTTCCCATAAAACAGTGCGTATATTGTACACTTAATTACACACATCTCTTCAGACTGTTAACAATCTGTCTCTGTTTTGCTGAGTTTGCTCAGATGATATGGTTGCATGTGTAACAAGACACTAAACCTTTGTTGCATTAACTAAAAAGTCATTGAAATCATGCAAAATAAAAACAGTTGCAGTCGAAAATCACAAAGAGTGACTCTCCTCACAACAAGAAGCACCTCTGATGTTGGGCCATAATTACTGTGGTATATCAAACCTAATCAGTTATCCTAACGAGGTCATTAATTAAGCAAATGAATGCATTAGTTACCAAATGGCTCTATGTCAATGTAATTGTCTTCACATCTTGTTAGTGAACTGGTGTTGAGCTAAATTCAGCTGCTCTCTCACTCTGTTGTGGGTCAAATTAAAACACAGGACAGCTTTTTTTCTGTGTGCTTTACTCTGGTATTAACATAAACTCTGGATTTTGAAGCATTACACTTAAAGAGGAGGGACCAATTTTAAATACTGTGTTTACAAACAGCAACAGACAAATCCTGCATAGTGCGCCTTTAAAGCTCCAGTGTGTAACATTCAGGAGGATCTATTGGCAGAAATAGAATATAATATTCACAGGTATGTTTTTATTAGTGTATAATCACCAGAATATAGGAATTGTTGTGTTTTCGTTATGACCAACCAAACCTGATTTTTGGCGAGTGGTATACACAATCTGTAACTTCACCACTAGATGCCACTTAATCCTACACACTGATCCTGTGAGCAAGTGAACAGCAGTACTTCCTGTGTTAGCTATCTAGAAAGCTGTGTTCTCAGGTTTGTCACTTTGTAGCTGCATATAGCTGTAAAACGACTCTACTGATCGCCTCCTTATATAGGCATCTCCTGTTTAAGTCTGTAAGCACCAAACTGTTATCGACTGCTGTGTCACATTATTAAGTGCTCCGAAACAGCTGCCAAAACAGCTGGAGAAAACAGAAAACAGCTGACTTGAAGCCAAGCTTGCATGAAGCTATGATTTTGAAGTTAAAACTTGTTTTGGGTTTACAAATCTGTCCCTGTGCACTGTTAGTCGTAGTCACTTTACAGATTGATTACTGTTTGAATTAATTTGTGCTTTTCCCCTTAGTTTTCTCACAAAACTTAAAAACAAGGTAGTTTTAGAAGATTCCTAATAGAATCTGTTCTACTGGCGTATTACCTTGCAGACACGGGCCACCCTGGCCACAGTGAGCTCAGTGTCACAGTCAAGCTCCAATGCTCGCTCACTGAAGAAGAAGTAGATTTTGTCATCGTCCCCCTCTTTACTGCCGCTGCTCTCCCTCACCAGGGCTGAACCCACAAAGTCCGGCTCTGCACACGCAGACACACACACACACACACACACACAACGCACACGGAAGGGTAGCATCAGAAAGTACATTTACACACCAAAGTAAAGCCATGCATCACAACAGAACAAATAGACAGTCTCAGCATGTAGGTGTGTGTGGACGCACACACATATAGACACACAAGCTTGAGACCTCCATCTCATTCCCTGCTGCCCCTTCTCACCTCTCTGTCTATTTTCTTTCATCACTCTCTCCTTCGCCCCATCTCTCCTCCAGTCATTTCTCGCTCTCTGTCTCTCCAGTGCTTCCTATTACCAGTCCATTTTGTGTTTCTCACTTCCTCCCGTCCTTCCCGTATTTCTCAGATTTTCTCTGTAGCCAGTCCTCATTAGATTTTGAATCATGTGTTGTTGTTTTTTAAAAAGGCCATATACAGACATTTTTGCCTTGGCTGCTGCTTTAAATTCAACTGTTTTTATATATTTTTTTAAATTACAAGGACCCTATGTTTCCCTAGATGTACTATTTGAGTATGAAACACTAGGTATTACATTGAAACCCAGTCCAATTGTGGACTGGGTGTCCACCCAAGTGTTTTTAGGCTGATCAGAAGCTGCTTTAATTAAAGTGAAGCTGGCTTTCTTGGTCTAAGTTTATTTTTTAATAAAAGCTCTGTATCAGAATGGATAATAAGTGGACATATCAGTCCAAACCTCCGCCTCATCTGTATGTTCCTCCTTCCTCCCCCCTCCATTCTCCATTCCCCTCACCTCTCCCTGTATCTTTTCATCACCAATCCTAATGTCTCTTCTTTCATCACCCATTTTCTTGCTGTGACTTCATCCTCTTCTCTCCCCTTCATTTCTCTCCAAGTGACTCACTCCTTTCCCCACCTCCTCCCCCCAAAAGATAACGATCCTTCGCTGTAGACGAGTCCTGCGCTTCATTTCCTGCAACTCATTTCTCTTTCTCTTGTTCTTTTGCATGTTTCTGGCTCTTATTTTATTTAAATGAAACTCTGTTAAAAAGAAGCCCCTGTTATCAACCTCTAATGTAATTTATTCTATTTGAATACATATTTAGTTTGTCAGTGTTGTGGTGTCTTGGGAAAAAATCTTAAACTTGAACTGATGCAGAATATTTTAGTTGAAGTATGGATGAACTGATATTTTCCCACATATTTGCTTCTGAATATAATGTTAGGATGCACAATTGACACACACATACACAGAGTGAAAGTATAAGGAATGGATTGCTAGTAGTACAAACACAACTACGAGCTAGTACAAGCAGTTTAAACTAGTAGTTAGGAGCATATTATTAGCTATCCATTACCCGAGATGGAGTTACATTTCACAAATTTATCAGTTAGTTTTTTTTTTATAAAAATATTTTTTTGTCATATTTGCGGAAATGTTCACTATATCCTGACAGCAGTTTATGAGACAGATCATCTGTGAAAAAATCAGGTTCCTCTGGCTCTTTCTAGTGCTCCTAATGGTATTTGCAAGAATCCACTAGGCCTGAATGAGAACAAACCATCAGAGCCAAGAAAGATAGTTGATTGTTCAGTCCTCCCAGGGGGTCAAATACAGACGCTATGGACTCTGGGAATGACACTGAACAATCAACTATGTTCAAGCCTCCAACCCAAAGAGTCTTTATATCTTTTTAGGCTCTGATTGGTTGTTCTTGTTAAGGCCCGGTGGATTCTTGCAAATTTTATCCGTTTCATTCAGTACTACTGTACAACTGTCAGGATATAGTGAAAGTTTCAGTTTATATGACAAAAAAATATTTCTATAAAAATTTGCTACTGCAGCTTTAAAGCCTGCAGTCCATTATTTCCAAATGACCAATTCTACAAAAAACAAATACTGGTAACTTTAATAACTGTTAATACAAAGTATTGACCTAAATTGTAAAAAATAAAAATGTCTCATGTTATTTTTTCTATCTATTCCTTCCACTTTTCTTCCTTCTTCTCTCTCCTTCAACAGGCAAGTTTACCACTTCTTTTGTCTCTCTTTTTCTCACGTCCTTATTTTTCACTTACCATTGAGCCAGGCAGGCAAGTATTCGCTCTTCATGCTGTAGTGCTGTCGGCCCAGGTTCCTCAGAATGACAGGCTCTGTACCCAGGAAGTTGTTGAGCGTTGCTGAGTAGAGCTCCTTATCTGTAGCAACAAAATGCAAGTTTAATTCGTTTTTTTCAGTCCCAATTGTACAGGCTCACAATGAGAGAAGGTCAGTGGTTCAGTGGGGAGACACAAAACACAATGAGAGAATGGCTGCCTGTAGGTTCAGTGAAGCTGTTCATACTGATGTGAATGCAGCATGTAAAGTTGAATTGGACTTCTGGACTCTCAATGCAATCGTATGACTGGGAAACAGATGGGAAATGCTGCAGGAGCAGTTTGTGGAGTTTTGATGGATATTTTATGCTTCGGTTAGAGCTGTTAAAACATGGTGCTGTTCACTTTAATATAGAGATTGCTCAGATGGAGCAAGATGAGCTGACTGTGTGCTGGGTGTTGATATGAATGTCAATGTCTGATCATGAATTTTATATTTAAAATGATCCTTACATGATCATCACGCCCATTTAGAAACACTTATATCAACTCATCATATAAAAGTTAGTATATGGAGTACATGAAAACATGCATGCATCAACACAAAGCTAAGTACAGTGTGCGCACACACACACACACACACACACACTTTTACTCACCCACTATCAGGCCAGTATGCCCCTTGGCAGGGTCATATGGGCATTTACCCTTCCCATCGTCCAGGGCTGCAGTGTTGAGGGTAAAGTAGTCCGCGTTCTGCAAGCACACACACACACACACACACACACACACAAAATGAAGAACACAGGTGGTTGGTGGTCAGTGTGTATTATTGCCTACATGACACAGCTGCAAGGTCTGTCTGTCCATTACAGGAACCATAGCTTCACCCCTCACCATGTTGTCCTATCGCATCAACGTCACATATATGCACACACACACACACACACACACAAACACACACACGTTCAGCCAACCCAGCGTGAGATACTGTTTCCCCTTGCATTTATTTTTATTTTGTCACACAGTGCTCTTAGCTTGAGGCCAGATGGACATCTCAAGTTGACACCTGTCAGCGCTGGTCTTGCAATGAGTCACTATCGAGTAAAACACACACACACGCAAACTTACCACATAGGTGCATTTGGGCTGGAAGGCGTAGGTGCCGCAGGTGTAGAGGAGCGTGTGGTTGTAGCTCTGCAGGAATCGGATGTAGTTGAAGCACTCAGTCTGTGAAGGAGAGAGGAGGAATTGTTAGAATGCGGCTGCATTTGTTAAGGGGGCAATCAGTGCTTCCACCATGATGACTTTCAGTGTGCTCACAGGATTTAGTTTTACTCTAATGCTTCAATGTGACTTCTTCTAAATCCTCATTCACCTGACATGCCTCAATAACCTAGACACTAGATCATGTTTGCTGATAATATCCTTTTATTAAAAATGTGTGTGACTGAAAAGATCCTTCAACTGTGCTCTTTTTCTACTCTCTTTTGGGTGTACAAATAAAGACACTGAACATTGGCTGCAACCATATTTAAAACTATTATTTGTTTTGTGTATGATGCCGGTCAAATTAAATAGTGTTATACAAGTGTTCAGAGTCCTATTGAGGAATCACTTAATAGATGATGTAGTGATGCAGCCACATTATCTAAGTAACCTTTAAACTGAACAAAAAAGCGACAGATTGTTTCCATTCAAAGAATATGTGTGTAATTAAGAGTATAATATATGCAGTGTTTTATGGGAAGTGGCCTTTAATGTCTCCTCTGTGATGAACAATAAAGCTCTTTGAATGGAATTGGAAACAGATGCTCATACATGATGCTAGCGGAATGAATAATTCAGTGCATCCAGTTGATGTTGCCATTGTAGCAGCAAAACAATATCTGTGTCTCACGGCTGTAACACAGGCAAAATGATTTCTTTAAAATTCATTTTTACGGCTCCTGCAATCAGTGAGGATAATCAGGATGAGATCTGTCTGGCAGACGGCTCTCTTTCAAGCCCCCAACTACAATGTTACATAAAAAGACTAATCATTAAACATAACGATGGGCAGTGTAAACACCATATGGTTATTCTTGCAAAATAAGCCAATTCCTTTACAACCATATGTATGCATATGGACTAAACTGGACTACAGTAGGTGTGCAGAATAAAGGTACTTTTGGTCATTTTTGACTAAATGTTCTGCACAACTAAACCTGAATACAGGCCATCACACTGTATTTTAAGAACCACACCAAAAACTGAGAAACCATCGATTTTCAGCAGATGAATTTTGAATACACATTAAGTTTAAGTGTTTGAAAATACTGCAGTATTTTTAAAGCTCCTGTTCTACTAATTTCTCAACATGCTTTTCTTTGGAGTCAGTTTTAGTTAAAGTAGTGTTGCTACTACTGCACTCCAATGAACTATTTCCCTTTGGTTTTAACCCACATCAAAAGTTAGTGTTGTGCAATGAAAGAAGTTTTAGCTCCATTTCCAAAAGCTGTGAACTTCTATAAAATATTAAACGAGAATTCTTGCGAATATACATTATGCAGCCTAAGCAGAGAGAAGTTCTTGCTGAGAAAGTACAGAGCTGGGGTTACTCTCTGTGTTTACAAATGTGCCAAAAGCTCACTAATTAACATGGTATATGCTGTTTTCTTTTAAATCATTCAAAAAACAAAGTTGCACAGGGGTTATGTCCTGGACTACTTCTTGGCTGGGTGCACTGACTTCCTGGAGTCTTGTTCTCGCTTCAGGAAGTCATTGTGCCCAGCCAAAAATACCAACATACTGCAAAATCACAACCTGTTTTTGTACATTTTGGTGTGTCCTCAGGCTAGTTTTTACCTCCTGCATCCAGTTTGTATGCTATGCTAAGCTAACCAGCTGCTGGCAGTAGCTTCCTACTTAACAACAGACATAATCCTCGGCAAAACCTCAAATAAGCATATTTCCCCAAATGTACCTGTTACTTTAATGGTAAAACCATATTTATAGCTATATTTTACATTGATTAATATAAGATGCATCAGCAGATACACTCTGCACCATTGCCAACACTAACTGCAGAGAAAGAAGTTCCTAAACAATGACATGGAGCTGATAAAAGGTAACTATGTATTAGCAAAAGTGTTCAGTTTAATTTATTTTTTATTGTATTGTATATTATATTAGTAAAACCTCAGCGTCAGTCTTTATCACATCTAAGATTCTTTCTGGAGCAGGTATTCAATCTCTTTTTGATGTTCAAGACAAAACACTTCCTATGTCGAAGTTGCTGATCCTAACCCTGTCTGGGAGATGCACTGTGTGCTAATGTAATGACTGGAAGGTTTCCAGTTAGAAACCCCAGACTGACTTGACAAAACGTAATTGAGCGAAGTGAAGTGAATTAATGCTGCTCTCATAAACTACTGTCTTAGAAAATACTGCCATGGTGCCCTTGAGCATAGCAGGTAACCCTGGCAAGTCTAAAATCTATATTACCTGGTTGTTCTTCCCCTTGGCAACACACTCTCTCTTCTTATCCTGCGGAGCTGGCCAGTCGATCTGGAGAAAAAGAAGGAGACAGATTTGATGTGGGCAACATGTCATCTCTAGGAATGATGTTGTCTGCCTTTGGCCCATAACTAATACATTCTGCAAGTACAGTATGTATCAGTATATCATTTCATTCCTTGGCAGAGACCATAAAAATATTCACACTGTAAATAGATGCGAAAATGACATCACCTCATTTCTTTCTAAAAGGTTGCACATGGCAAAATATTTCACTCTTTCCTTGTTGCTTTTTGTGCTTGACTCGGTCGGTAGACTGCACCTTTGACCATTAGCTGCTGTAACTATGGCAACAGCCACAGACCCACGAAAACAGTACATTTTAAAGGTACATTTTGATACTGAGAAATACGCATTTTCTATAGGTGCCCTATAGCAGGTGCATAATGAGAGCAGGTGCATCCTTTTTATTTGCACAAAAAGGTACAAAGTGGTTTCACAGTAGTTACCATGCACTAAAGCTACACTACAGTTAAGTCAGTTAAAATGATCCACGAACTGAGCCGCACAGGTGATGCAAGGAAAAAGCACCACTGCAGAGACCCTGGTTCAGATCCTGGCAGCGGAGCTCCTGAGTTGGCCCCATTAAATGCACTGTTAGTGGTAGGTAGGAAACTGTGCGGCCCTTACTGCAGCAAAATCCCCTAATGATTATACCATTGTTCAAAGGATCAACGAAAGAAAGTGCACCATAATGTACTCGTAGAGTGTACTGCTCCACTGACAAGCCTTTATCCTCTAAAAGGCACAACTCTAGAAACGTTTAAGGAGGAACCGACGGCCACTGCTATTTAACATTATTTACAGTAGCTGCTTTTCTTAATGACTGTGTGACACATGGCTGAACTTTGCTCTGTGGACAGATGTCCAAAATATGAAGTGTGTTTACTAAGAGGTTTCCACGCCATTAGAAATAATTACACTGGTCATTACAGGCAGAGAACTGCTGCAAATTCAGTATTACACTCAGATTTACTTGACTGGATTTAAACCAACAGCAATCAAACAATGGGTTATTGCCATATACTGCACTGGTAGATAGACTGCACTTAAAAAACTAGACTTATAATAAAGATTTCTTTACCGTAATATAGTCTATATAAGTCTTTTGTAGCTAAGGTAGAATTCTCTGATTGGTACAATTCATATTTAATATGATAATATTTCACTAACAAGAAGATTTTTCACCTGACCGCTTCCTACCACTGTCCCCAGAAGATTCCCATGGTCACTGTGGAGATGATGGAGTTTTAATGGTTAAGATTTCATAACTCAATTAATTATTAGGATCAGTGGCTGTGAAATATTACCTGAAGTATCTGTGATTTTAACTAATTCACTTTAGTTTTTTAAAGAAAGATTGGATAAAATGAAGCATAGCAACCCCCACAGTTTATTGTGACTTCTAATTTGTTCTCAGGGGATTCTCATTAGTCACAGGCACTGTGTACTTTATTATTTAATCCAAAAAATTCACTCTTCATTCAGTTACTCCACACAGATCATGTATTTTACAAAAAATGATCAGGCAGCAGTAAATTGTCAAGCAGTAGTAGCAGTGCAACGACTAATGGCCTATACACATCTGCCAAAATAAATGTCCTCTACTTCACATTAACACACAGCACTAATAATAAGCAACAGCTCTTAGATATTTCAACTCTCATTGAGAAAAAGGAAGAAGCTGGAGAGGAGCTTCGCCCCCCTTTAATGTCAACGGGTCCTCTGTGGAGTGGGCGGACAGCTTCAAGTACCCCGGTGTCCACATCATCGAGGGCCTGACCTGGGCGTGGCATACTGACTCAGTGGTGAGAAAGGCAAAGCAGTGACTGTTTCACCTCGAATACATGAGAAAATTCCAAATATACCCCTAAAAACAGAGGAATTTCTACTCCTGCACCAGAGTGTGCTGTCGGGCAACATCAGGTATACAGAAACAGCATCAAACAGCAACGCAAGGCCCTGCAAAGAGGCGCTGCTCTACCCTGCCTAGATTTTCCAAGACGCTGCAAGCATGAGGCTAGGAGATTGATGATGATGAAGCATCACCTAACAGCCTTTTAACCTGGCTGTGATTGGGAAGAAGGCACTATTAAGAACACTTATAACTTACTTATTTACTCATGTTACTTCCAAAGTAACCATTGTTACTTATTATGTGTTCTATCCTTTATTACTAGTCTATTTTTATTGAACAAATTGAAGGAGCTTACGGAAATTCATTTCACTATGATTGTACTCGTATGATACTATGTGACAATTAAACTTGAACCTTTGAAAATTAAGTGGAAACGTTTATTTTGGGAAGGACCTCAGCACTATTACACGGCCACTTGGTTTCAGCCTTTTTAAGGCACATGCTAATATCTGATGTTTTATCTCATACATGCAAATAACACAGTCTACACTTTAGCCATTAGGCAATGAATAAACATTACACCTTAAAGTGAACTCTAGTTCTCAAGGGACTCTTGCTGGTTTAAACTGCAGTATGGTGTGCAATGACGGTCCTAAAAACACATTTGTAGAGTAGGGATAGGTGGATATTTGAACCAAATTCATGTCATTTGAAGAAAATCTGCAACATTTTATACTTTTTAAAGTGCTGGAACAAAGTGAAACTGTTGCAAATGCAGTTGAAATTGTATCAGGGGTGTAAAAAAAACTAAATAATGTAGAATGAAGCACTTCAGACACAAATGGGAGCTGCATGTCAAAAAAAAAATAGGTCAAAATCTTGAAGAAGATCCCTAGAAAATATTCATGGAAGAAAGACAGACATGCCAGTAATGAAGAAAGAGAGCCAGTAAGACAGCGGCAAAGGAATAAAAGAGTAGCAGTTAAAGGAGGGAAGGAGGGAAGGCGGAGGAGGGGTGAGAGAGTGATGGGCAGATGGTGACAGAGGGGAAGGACTATTCCCTCGTCCTCGTGCAGTCATTTCTCTGTGCTGGCTCCTTCCCTCTACATTGCACACTGGGGGCTGACAACAGGTGGTCTTATCATTACTGTAAGACTCATAACCCTCACTCAAACAGCTTGTGCTTGTGTTGCGTGTGACAGAGCGTGTGTGTGTGTGTGTGTGTGTGTGTGTGTGTGTGCATCTAATAACGGCTCATTACGGCGGTAAATCAGATAACAATCCCCAATCTGCTGCAGGCTGCTCACTACACATTCACTGGACTGCTGTAATTGTATTGATTGCAATATGGACCAATTATTGAGGGAGCAAAGCAAAACCAGATTGAGTCTCTGAGGCTTTAGCATCTCTGTATGTGTAAGTGTGTGTATGTGTGTATATCAGGTCAAGGCAAGGGTATTTATGGGGCTCCTTTAACAAACAGGTTTGCCCCAAAGAGCTACGCAGAAAAACAAGATACACAAATTAAAACAAGGACAATAAAAAAACAACCTGATTGAATAAGTGGATCATAAACTCGGAGATACAGGGCCAAAGCCTGTGCAAGTGTATATGTAAGTGCATGTGTGTGAGAGTGCCTGTGTACTCCCACACATTCACAGTGGATATGTTTGTGCTGATAGAAGTGAAATACTGGAGCCAATAGCTATGCATATTACGATCTTAATACTTGGCAGCTTACTTACGCTATTACTGTTGGAGGCTTTTAGCAACAGATAACATAAATAACTTCCAAATGAAGTAATAACTTCTGAACTGAGTCCAATATATATAAAACCTGATCATGTAAAAACCCCTTCCCCGACGAACAACGAAGTTATCATTTAATTAAAACAGGTGTAAGTTTATTTTTTATCAATCTGAATATGTTATTAACTTAAGTTTTTGTAGCAACTGTTGGTGATTTTCATGGTTGAACTCAGTTGAAAGAGTTCATGTATGGAGGCTAAAACTGTCAAAATTCTGTAAGGTTCTGAGTCTAAGAAACTATACATAATCATGCATCAATAATGAATATTGTTAGTTAAATAATTAAAAGGGGGTGTACATAGTGATAAAGATATACATACCTTTAACCTCCATCAGTTGCAAAAAGCTGTGTGTGGAGAGCTAGCAACTAAAAACAGTGATGCACGAGCCTTTTTCGACTAGCTTACTCAAGCTAACTTTCTTCATTAAACTACACCAGCCAGTAATATTAATCATCCATATGTTGTACTGAATATTGCTGTAGCATTGCTGTATTAGCTCATAGCAGCTGAAGCATTTTGAATGTCAAGCTAACGTTAGCAAAGTGCACATCTCTTCATCAAGGACCATATTGGAAATACGTTTCTTTTTACATTCCATTTTCATATAACTAACAATATTATTAAAGTATTCAGTTTTGCATTGTATGATAACTTGTTGTCAGTTCCAGGGCTCCATATTGGCCTACATTGTTTTTTGTTAAAAAAAACCCCAAAAAACACACTTTGGTTTGTGGTTTTTGGTTTTCTCTCTTAAAATGAAGCTCAAAAATTAAACGAGGGTCAAACTAAAAGCAAGGCTGTTTTCTGCTTTTGGAAAAGTTGAACCACTGGAGGGCTCTTCACTAACAGCAGCAATTAATACATTTTATTATATGTTTGACCCTTCAAGGAGGACACTTTAATACATTTTCAGAAGGTATTAAATTGCTTGACGGTTCGTACATTATTAGCTTCTACAAGGCCTGAAGATTTAATAAAAGAAGTACAGGCCAGACCAATAAAATACCAAACATGTAGTATGACTCAGTCGTCTTTATTATAGTATTATTTGGTTCTTTGATTATCTGCCAGAATTTTTGTGTGTGTTCGCAAATGTCCTTGAGTCCAAAATGAGCAAAAAAAGACAAAAAGAAATAAAATAAGGTCAGTCTGGAAGTTAATAGGCAGCAAAGAAATGTAGCAGAGGCAGAGATTATGCTTTATGTTTTTTTCCCCTCTTTCCTGCTTATCCAAGCTGAACCTCTGCAATATTTAAGCTTTTCTATAATAATTATATCATTGTTAATATCATAATTGAATTTGGTGTATTTAAATTAAGTATTTGAAATGTGTGTTTATCTCTGCAGTGCTCAGTAATCAGGCTCGCATGGAGGAGATGGTGCTTTTTGTTCTTCAACTGTCTATCATGAAGCTTTGTGATATTAAATCTTATGTGTTATCATTTAATTTCTTGCATTTCTTCAAAAACCTTTCTGAATGTGTGGGTGTTTGCAGAGACTGTAAGTCAGGCAGTGCCGTGAACATAATTGTTTTTCTTGAAATCCTTTCTCTCCCATATGGAACTTTTGTCAATTCTTATCATCATAAGTGGCAGAAATGAGGCCTTTAAAGTGTGTGTTTATGTGTGTGTTACCTGTGGCCGTAGCTGTCTGCTGATGTCGTTGGGGTCCAGGGCGAACAGCGCCTCCCGCGCTCCGACGTACAAAACCCTCTCGTGGTCGGACAGAGTCAGCATGCTGTAGTTGAACACTCCCTGAATGCTGAACCTCGCCATGCTGTCCAACACATCTAGATAAAGACACACAGATGCATCATTACATTACTGTTAGCTGAAAAATAGCTCATCTTCCCTGATTCAGCTGATCTGCAGACAGATAACCGAGAAGAACATTTCACACTTCCCATGTTGAAATTTGTTGATGTCTCAGCTTATTAGCACCTAACCTCACCCACTCCACCACCTATAGTCACATATATGTCACCCATTCTGCTGGTACTGTGTGTGTTACAGCTCACCCACATCTTTGCTTTTCAATAAGAACTATGTGTTCTCTTACACAGCATGAGCTCCTGCACAGTTTAACACTGTGGTCATGAACTTTAACCATCTCAAATAATGCTGTTGAGCATTGGCGTTTCCAGAGGGGTGGGGGCCATGCAGTGGCCACCCCTGAAATTCAATTGGCCACCCCATTATCCTTACCTTTTCTACTCTGTGCTGTCTTTCAGAGGCTGTAGTCTAGTGGTATCATATTAAACTAGATGACCTAATGCATCTCTTTTTACCAACCATGTCATGCTAGCAGGAAGGAGGCTAAATAACTGGTTTTATGGCCTGCAACAAAGTTAGCATTTAGCAGCTAAAGAACTACATATTAAAACAGAAATAAAGAGGAAAGTCAATATTGGACTGACATTTGCCAGGTGGCCAGAAACACGACTCAACAGGAATGCTCATGTTTCTCATGTGTAAATAGGCAACTGTCGTTCATCGCGGCAGGGTGCTCGTCCATTTGAAAGTAAACACTTTCAAATCAACAAAGACAGTGAAAGTAACAAAACATCAGCACAACATACATGTAACGGAAGTTATGAAAAAAAAGCATTTTTACTAAAAGCTCTCACGGTTATAACTCATCAGGTCCTAATGGGGTTTGCTGAAACTAGCCACGGTATCTAGCTCCAAGATCTGTTGTAAACTATTCCTGCAGGATGGCACTGAAAGCTTCCCAAGCTCTGTATTTACTTTAAGAACCTGGAGCAGAAACCAGTCTTCGGGGCAAGTCTGATAAGTTCCAGATCTGCGTGTCAGAAGTGAGATAAGGTACTCGTCTGTTTAGAAAAGCTGTGCAAATAAACAAGAGGCAATGATGCTCTTGCCCTACCAGCCCTTGTTTTGATGTGCACCATTACGGCCAGCAGTTATGAATCTAAAAGGAGAGTGAGCATCTAGAGCCTTTTAAAGTAGAAGTATATTGATGAATATAAATAATATCATCATATATTAGGACTGATAGAAATGGTTTGAAAGTCTGCACAATCACAATCAATTCATCTTTAAAAGAAACTAACCTCCAACAGCTTCGATCAGCCAGTGCTCTAATGTGAGTCTTAAAAGTGAGTTTGTTATTGAGCCAGATGCGACGAGGTTTGCATTCATACACTTGTTCAATACAAATTCCATTAGGACTGGTAATTTTCAAATTGAGAAAATCTGCTAATCTTGTTTTGGAAAACAACTTAAATTGTGTTTTGCCTCAATTTACCGCAGCTTTTAGACTAAAGATTGTTAAAAGACTCATACAATCAGCACTGCAGCATTAAGAAGATAGAGCACCTATACACAACAATACAGGGATTTAGAGTTGGACCAAGAGGCATTATTGTGAATGGACAATGGGATCCGAGTGACAACGTGGACAGAATTCAGAGCTTATGATTGCTTATAAATGCACACTAATAATGAGAATAAATCTGTGTGATTAGATTGCTGCACATCCAGTTGTGAATCGCATTTTAATACAAGACCTAAATGAGGCTTTTTCCTCTGATTAGGCTATCGCTCAGAGTATTAACGGAATATTAGCCTCCTTGTAAATTCAGTCATTGATCAAACAGTTGGATCGATGTGCTTTGTCTCCAGACTGTCTAATTTGGGGGTTGCCCATATTTTGGGGGTTGTTTCTCATTTTGCCGCTTGCAGGCCGACACAAACAATCTCAGAAAGATTATAAGAAAATCACAAAATGTTCTTTCCACTGCCCCATCTGCAGGGATTGCTGAAAAACCAGAGCTGACTTTTTTCATCAAAATTTAAAAAAGATGCACCCACTGTTTTGCTGTTCAAGCTCACACTCACGCACGCACACAAACACACGCCCAAATACACACACACAGACACCACTGAAATCCCCTGACTAGCATGCAGACAAACTAGTGGTGCAGAGCAGATGAGAAAGCAAGACAGAGACAGGAGGAACGAGAGAAAGGATGGTGTTTAGTTTTCATTATCCACACTCTTGTTGCTTGTAGAGTCACCTTGTTCTCCCTCTCCTGCTCTCTCTCACTTTATCTGGGCTGATAGAACGTGTGCAAAACGAGAGGCGACGACAGCCTGCGCTGCACGTAATGCGATCTCATAAATTGAATAAGAATATTTCTTTTTTTGTTTTGTTTTCTACAGCAGGAATATTTTCACTTCTTTTGCCGTTTTCCTGACTGAAAATAGCAGCTGACATCCAGGGAGGGAACAGCAGGAACTGGTGTGATTTATGGTGTGACTAACTGCTCATGTGACGCTGTGGCCTAGTTGGGACTAAATAGACTTATATACATGGAGCGGCGTGTACTGGATGAAGGGGTTGTGTGTGTGTGTGTGTGTGTGTGTGTGTAATAAAATAAAAGAAGGTTAGAAAAATGAAAAATGTTCCAAGTGCTTCATGACAAGACGATAAAAAGGCAGAATTGAGTAAAAGTTCCAGCAGCTCGGAGCATAATTAACTAAAACTTCAGGAGTCCTCAATGTCATTGAACTGTTTCTCACAGAAATTAAGGTCAGCTTTAGTTAAGATTTTGTTACTTCAAATACAAGGTTATCCCGTTCTATACCTGCGGCACATGAAGTGATGCTTTTTATTTTCACAGAAAATCAACATTCCTTTCAACTGAGCACAATCGCATCAAACTAACCGACCATTTTACACCAATGGTGACAGCCAGAATCAAGAAAAACAAGCTTAACATGTCCTGAAAGTGTGCAGAATAATGGAATGTAAGAGCATCCATATCTGCAGATGACTACCGTGTGATATGGTGGAAAGCAAGAGCAAGAATGAACTGTCGAGCTCCAGATTTATCCAGTTAAGACATCATCATTTATGTAAAACATCAATGAAGTGACAATTATAGACCAAAGGTGGCGCCAGAGAACAAAAGCAAGAATCACAGGCATTTTCAGCTTGTGGGACAGAGCCATCTCATTACAATATCAGGAGCCCCATAAAAATGTATTTTTACATTTTTTCCCCCAATTTTGTCATAATTACATTTTCTGGCAAGGCTGTAAAATTGCAGTGTAAAAAGGAGCTTATATTTCACATTTAACATTTAGCGAGTTGAGCAGTCATAGGGTCAACTCCACTATGATGTTTGACCCCATCCACAGAGTGTTCAAGTGGGACCCCATTGGAGAGAACAACCTGGCCAGTGTCCCCCATGCAATTTTAGTTGGGGCCCCCTGACTCAGGACTTTTGCAATGACGGCAAAGCGCTGATATTATTAGAGGATATCTACTTTAAATTTGACTATTTTCATGCATAAAGACACCAACTGTTCCAAGTTTTAACTGTTGACTCCAGATTTGTTGTAAAAAGTTTAAAAGCATTTTGACCATCATGGCAAACCCTCCACTTAAATCCTCTTGCCGACCAGCTTTTGTGTGTGCGTGTGTTAAACTGTAAGCACACAGCAAACATTATAGAAAACCCGGTCAGTCAAAAGTTATAGTTCAAAAAGCCTAGGAGGCGACATGTCAGAGGCACAGAAGGATGGATGTAGAGAGATAGAAGAGAGAAGGGAATACGTAACCAAAGGAAGGAAGGGGGATAAGTACTGAAGTCAGCTTATTATCTGAAGAGCAGCGGTGTATAAACATTGGAGGGTATGTACGGATGAGGGAGCTTGATGAGAGTGAGTGGAGGGGGAGAGAGAAAGAGACACACACAGAGAGAGAGAGGCAGCATCCTCAGGGGAGAACAGAGCACATCTGCTGTGTTCCACACAGCCGGGCAAGAAAACTCCTGAGCTGACACACTTCCACTAACACAGACACACACACACAAGCTCACACTTGTGTGGAGGTACGTAATGGCTCTACACGCAACTCTGTGCACGCATGAACACATACACGCACACAGAATATACAAAGTTTATGTGTGAGCTAAAAGACACATTGCACAAACACAAACACAC